AGGGGAGGGAGGCTGTTACTAGTTCCGAGCATCAAGCGGTAACTATAAATCACTAGAGAAATAAGTTGCTCTCCCAGTAACTTTGACTGTATTTTGAAATTATGGAGCTCTGTTAAGTTAATGACCAGAGTCTCTTTCTGGAATTCCCCTCCTCTGGAGTCATGCGGCTCGGCTTAGTGACCAGGCGGCTGTAGGCGCAGGAGCGGGGCCTCCAAGGGGAGGAGTGGAGCAGGGAGAAGGGGCGCTTCTCCCCGACAGCTCTGCTCCCCTGTTTCCCAAGGGCTCACCCAGGATTTGCTGGCTCAGTGAGTGAGAAAGCCAAGTGCTAGCACGCGCGGTGGCCTGCGGCCCTTCTGCGGGAGAGTTCGCGTTAAGCCGGCATTGCCCGGCCGTCTGCGCTCGGGCATCTCGCGCCCGTGTGTTTTTAACTGGTTTTGTATGAAAAGGCTTCTGGTTCCTTTCACTGGAAGTTCTTAGTCAGCGTGGGAGTGTGGGGTGAGTGGGTAGGTGGGAGGTGTGTGTGTGTGTGTGGTGTGTGTGTGGTGTGTGTGGTGTGTCTGTGTGGGTGTATGTGGTGTGTGTGTGTGGTGTGTGTGTGGGGGGGTGTGTCTGTGTGTGTGGTGTGTCTATGTGTGTGGTGTGTGTATGTGCCTGTGTGGTGTGTGTGTGGTGTGTCTGTGCGTGTGGGGTGTGTGTGTGTGGTATGTCTGTGTGTGTGGTGTGTGTATGTGCCTGTGTAGTGTGTGTGTGGTGTGTCGGTATGTGTGTGTGGTGTGTCTGTGTGTGTGGTGTGTGTATGTGCCTGTGTGGTGTGTCTGTAGTGTGTCTGTGTGTGTGTGGTGTGTCGGTGTATGTGGTGTGTCTGTGTGTGGTGTGTTGGTGTATGTAGTGTGTCTGTGTGTGGTGTGTTTGTGCCTGTGTGGTGTGTGTGTGTGGTGTGTGTGGTGTGTCTGTGGTGTGTCTGTGTGTGTGTTGTGTGTGTGTGGTGTGTCTGTGTGCCGTGTGTGTGTGGTGTGTGTGGTGTGTCTGTGGTGTGTCTGTGTGTGTGTTGTGTGTGTGTGGTGTGTCCGTGTGCCTGTGTGGTGTGTGTGTGGTGTGTGGGGTGTGTCTGTGGTGTGTCTGTGTGTGTGTTGTGTGTGTGTGGTGTGTGTGTGGTTTGTGAATGAGCACCAGCTCTCCTGCGCAGGACACGGAGCAGCAGGAGGCATCTCAGACTTACCATTGCCAGGAGCCACTCTCCCACCTCTTAGCAGACACACCCTTGACAGACTGTCCCTGGTCTCGGGGGTGTGGGCCTCTGGCTGGCTGGACAATGAATCGGGACTGGCCTGGACTGTTCTGAGTCATCTCCCTCCTGTCTCGACCAGAGATCCGTCCACAAGCGCAGGAAAGACTGGTCTCTGCTGAGGAGCCTGTGTCTGGGCAAAATGCGACGAGAGCCTGAAAGAGCGAATCCTCAGTTGCTGTTTCCTGTTGGTCAGGAGGAGAGTTTGTCACCACGGGACGAATCCACGGAAACTTTGGGTGGGGAGCGGGGGGCCGGGGGGGACGTGCGCCACAGACACAGGCTGGAGACCCGAGCGAAGGGTTTGGCGACAGAGCAGATGACCCGTTAGGGGCGCAGTGGGTCTAGCTAACGGGGCTCCTTTCCGTGGGCACGAACAGAGCTGCAGAGCGTGCGTGCAGGGGGCTGTGCAGGGGGCCGCTGAGGGGGCAGGGGTCGCTCCAGGACCGCGGGCGAGAACACAGCTGGACCCGCGGGAGATGCAGGAAGCAAGAAATATTTTTGTCTTTTCTTCTCTGCCCTTTGCCTCCCCAAGTGGTTTTCTCTGCTCCTTTGTCCAGAGAGTAGCCGTGGATCTCAAATTTACGTTTTGCTTCTAAACAAATAAAAGTCGGCAAATTAAACCACCTTCACACCCAATTCCAAAACCCCAGCAGGGAAAACCTGACAGCCCCAGCCTGCCGGGTGTTCAGCCCTGGCCCGGTCAGCCAGGATGCCCGTCACAGGGGTGCGGGCGGGAGCGAGCGCTGGTCCTGAGGGTCAGGAGCAGGTCCTGGACCGTGACCCGGGCAGCGCTCGGAATAGTTCATCCCTCTGGTGCTTCTGGGCCTCGAGGAATCTGGCGATGCCGAGGGACTCTCCCGCCTCTCAGGAATTAGCTGACTCCAGGGTAGGTTGTCTAACTGAGGTGTTTCGGGGTGTGGTGCAAGTGGAGCCCCAGTTTCTCTGTGCATTGACACCGTGGTCCAGAATAAATGAGACTCACAAGGCTTTCGAGGGGGTGACGCGATCTGAGCAGGCGTGTGAGCACATGGGTGCCGTGAAGTCCCTCCTGCGTCCTCTGCGTGTCCACTCTCTTGCCCTCAGGTGCCCACTGTGCCGCAGGGGTCTGGGTCTTTGTGGGCACCAGTATCACTCAGATGCCCAGGCTCAGTTGCTAAGAATTCTGAGTCAGCGATGGGGGTGGCACCTGGGGATCTGCATTTAGACAAGCATCTCAGCCCACTCCAGTGCACAAAGGCCTGGAGTCATCCTGGAGAAACTTGGCCCCACCTGCTGGGTGGGGCTTCAGGGTCCTGACGACGCCCCCAGCTAGAACTGCCCTCAGCTGTATCTTCTGCGTTTTATATGCCTCCATAAATCACACCATTTCCTTTGTTGACTCAAATCTGCATTAACTACAAAGACATCTTTTTGGCACCATGTTTTATTATATCTTCCAGCTTCACTCCCAGTGTTGGAGCTGCTGCCTCTTAATTGTCTTTGATGAAGCTTCTATTTTTTCTCAGCAAAACTCTTTTCCTTCAGGAAAGATCTTCCTGCTGGTGACGCTGATTCATCTGATGCTCTTACAAGTGTTTATATCACTTGGCCACACGGTTGTGGAAGGGGAGAGGAATGTTTCGTCTTTTGACCTAAATGCCTTCTATTCCTTTTCGGCTCAGGAGGATGTAAAAACATGCAACAACTGAAAACACTGCGTATTAAACTGAGAACTGGGAGTTCCAATTTACCTGTATATCCTACAAAACAGTTAAATCCTACAATGCCAGGACTGGCACAGAACTTAGAGCATGTCTAGCTTAGTCCATCTATAGGTTGGTTGTATTAATATGAATTATATGTATTAAGTACCCACTACATGCTGGGTATTCTGAGTGATTTGCGTGCATTTTTCATGCAATCTTCAGAATAACACTTGAGGAACGGAACATTATTCCTAATGAAACCAAGATTTAAAAGCACATACTGCTATTAGGTATTTATCCAAATAACATGAAAAATCCAATGCGAAAAGAAGTGTCTGCACCAGCATACACTGCAGCACTCTACAATTGCCAAACCATGGAACCACCCAAGTGCTCATCAACAGATGGATGGAGAAACCATGGAGCATACATCCCGTGGAATATTATACAGCTGTGAAGATGGAACAGTGGCATATGGGACAAAATGGATGGACCTTGAGGTGACTATGTTGCGTGAAATCCATCAAAAAGTAGCAAAGGCTGTTCCTGTAGCAGGTGCGCCGCTGTGAGGCAGAGGGTCCCCATCCCTGGGGGTGTCCAGAGAGGCTAAGTGCTGCTTATCCCAGAAGTTTGGGAGGAGGTTCGGGCCTGGGTGTGGGGCTGTGCCCTGTGGTCCCTCAGACCCCTTCCAACTCTAAGAATCTTATTCTAGTGCAACAAACAGGTCTTGGGAAGCTACTAGGCAAGAGACACTACTTTCGGGTTTTGAAGCACAAAAAAATAAGCAAGGCATGATCCTAACCTTCAGATTACTTACCAACAAGCAGATAAAAGGGGGAGCAAATAAATATGCGTGGTCCCTCGTGCCTTGGATAGCCGAGGTGAAAGTCCAGTAACACCTCACTGGTGGGAGAATGGAGGTTGATGTGGCTGCATCGCCCACCAGGTGCCGCCCTGCTGAACGGAGATCCCACTATGGGGTGACACCGCCGGCACGTTACAGTGGGATTTGTGCAGAAACTCGGGGTGATCACACCTGGCCCTTGCCCTCCATCTGAGAGGTCCTGCTGCTGTGGACAAAGGAAGAAGCAAACCAGACCCGGGCAGAGGCCCCAAGCAGCCCGTGTGCTCGGTCCCAGTTCCGGTGGCGAGGCTGCAGGCCTGAGTCGGGCTATGTGGGGTGGCCTGGGGGCCAGGCAGGCTTGCGCTTCCTGCCTGCCACACGCAAACCTCCTCGCAGATGCTGCAGCTGGGGGGCAACAGGAGAAAGACAGGCGTCTGCGCTCTTGGTCTCCACCGCCGGCCGTGGGGCTTCCCCACTCTGAGCGCCAGGCCCACCGCCCAGTGGGAGGGGAGCGAAGTGGCGGAGGCTGCCGGGGAGAAGTCGGGGAGGGGCGTGGGCACCCTTCCCTCTTCGGCTGCGATGCTATGGTCTCTGAGACCGTCACCTGCCGTCACACCCACCCAGGTGGGCGCTCCCCGTCGAGAGACAGACGGCCCCAGCCCGCGTCCCTCTGAGCGGCCGGGAGGGAGCAGGAGGAGCGTTGGCTTCCCGAGACCTCAGTGTCGTCTTCTGCACCCCGGGGGCAGCCGACCGCTCCCGCTTACCTCCCGGGACTGCTGGGCACATCGCTCCCTCTGCTGCGACTCTGAAGAGATGTTAGCTGTGCTGTGGCGTAAGGCCGAGCATTAGTTGGAATCTGGGAGAATCATTTCTTAAACTCTCAAGACAACTCCCTGGACATAAGCCTGTAGCGGGTCTCCTGTCACATCTGCCCATAACCTGTGACACCTGCTCTCCTAGTGACTCGTGACGTGGGGTTATCACTAAACAGCAGGCGGCTTTGCCCTCCGTCATAGCTGTCTCCCGACACTCTTCTGTCAACTCCGGGCCAAGCTGTTTCCTGAAGCAGAAGCTCCCGGGAGTGTAGGCCTCAGTCCCCTGAGGTGCGTGAGGTTTCCCGGCGTGTTTGCACCACACACAGTTTTCCTGGCTCTCCTTGCCCTGGCTCCGGGGAATTCCTTACGTCTGTCAGTCCTGCTGCTGCCCCTGGCTACCAACTGACCGCCGTTAGCGGTACCCCCGGCGTCCACTGTGTCATCTGCTGTCCCTTCTGGGCTGCCACGGCGGCTCCGGGGGTCACTCCACTTGTCACTTGTTGACCCCCGACACATGCCCCATGGCTCTACCCAAGTTTCCCCTATTCCCTAAGACCCGCTCCCCCTCCAGAAACTCTCCAGCCTCCGCAGATGGCTCTTCTGCTGGAATCCGGCTCCCCCGTTCCTTCACACGGATGCTCCCCTGACTTCGCTCCAGAGAGCCTCAATCGCCATGGCAACAGCTGTCGACTGTGGTTCATTTCCTCAGAAACCCCAACTGGCAGAGCTGGCTGAATCGGGGAACTTTGCAGGGAACGGCTGGGTCTCTGGTACTGGGGCTGAAGTCCCAAAGGCCGCGCGGGGCTTAAAAATCCAGAAGGAAACAGATCCACAGCACAGGCGAAGCAGAAGGGGGCCTTGCAGACCCTCGAAGGAACCGTAGGTTCTAGTAAATGACAAGGTGGACGTCGGCTGCGGCTTGAGATCCTGATACCAAAGGACCTTCGCTGGGCCTTGTTTCCTGGCTTTGAGTACACATTCTGGGCGCGGATTTTAAAGGAAGAAAATGAACATTTGACATTGTTTCTCCCTTTCCTGCATGTTCAGCCTCTGCCGGTGGAGTTTTGAGGGTGGAGTGTGGTACTTCCAGCCCACCTCGCAGACACGCTGCTGTGCTCACGGTGGCTCCGTGCCGGGGTGAGCAGGACAGAGACCCACGTGCTGGGTGACGTCGCCGCCCCGGGCACACCTGTCCCGGGCACACCTGTCGCCGAGCGCAGGCCTGTGCACACCCGCACGGAGCTCCATGAATCCGGGGACGGCTGCCCCGTAGCGAAACCAGGCAACCTCCACAGCACAACCGACTCACCAGAGCAGCTGGTTCTCTTGATCCGCTCGCCATGAGGCAGCCAGCGCCCCTTCGAGGTCCCCTGGAAGGGGCTCGTCCCGCACGGTTCTTGGGTGTCTGACTTTTGTCCTTCCTTCCTCGCCCTCAACCTTTCTCTTCAGATCCTATAAATCATTCGCCCTTAACCTTACGCAGCAGCGGAAAAAGCAGCTTTATTTTGACAAGGTTAAGGTACACAAAAATATAATAAAATGTGGTCACGCTGTCACCCCAAGAAGAGCACGCGTGGGGAGAGCACGGAAGGGACCGTCCGTCGCGTCCTGGGGCTGGGAGAGCAAGGGCTGGCCCTGCTTCACGGAGGGAGACATCTGACGCGGGGTGTCTCCCGCCCTTACCCCTGGGTGATGCCTTCGGTCGTGGGCTCCCTTTCTGGGGATGAGAACTTGTCATCCTGCAGGTTTTCACGTTCTCGTACAAGTGAGAAAATCTCACGACGGCCCAGTTCCCACCGTGACCCGGACGCCCCGCCCGGGAGCTTCCTTGGAGGGCTGTGAAGTCAGGTGCTGAGAGGAGTGTTTTCACACTCAGGCCTCTCACGCAGAACAAACCCAGAGCTCAGAACAGCACGAAGTGAGACCAGGAACATGGCGCGGGACGAGAAGCCCAGAAAGCTCATTCCTGCACCGTCCTCCGCAGCCTCAGTCTGGACTCGGCTTTGCTAAGTTACGGGGTCCGGGGCTTTTCCTGAGAACGGCGGTGGGCGCGCGCCCTCCCTTCCGGGAAGCAGCCCACAGCGGCTGGCCCGCTCTCCACCGCCCGAGGCTTGTATTACTTGATTTCTTTCTTCCCATTAAATTAGAATTTAAAAAAATCTTATTAGTTTCCTGAAAGTGTTTTGGAAAGATCAAGAAACCATCAAGTCTTAAGAGCCTCAGAAACCTTGCGGGGAGAGACGTGGCGTTCACACGCCAGGGAGAAAATCTAATGATGTCATTTTTAAAATGTCTTTCATTATTTTGTCATGTCCTGAAATCCCATAAAAGCGTGGCACAAATGGGCTTGGGAGTTTTACTAAATTAAAATTGGTAAAGAAGGATGAATGGCAAGGATGATAGCCTTGATTTTTATTACTGCAAATTCCAGAAAGATCCAGGAAACAGTCAGCGGTGAGTGCAGACTCGCACTGAGATGGCCCCGGATGGGCAGGCAAGCCAGGGTCTTCCAATTTTGATCGGGTTGAGGAAGGAAGGAAGAAACCAACAATCAGAACCTCTCCCGTTCCCCACTAGACGCGTTTCTGCACGACCCCCCACCCCAGTATTCCTCGACTCCAGCCATTATTTTCAGAACCGTCAAGTTTGCTGAACGCCCTTGAAAGGTATTGTCTTACCTCCTTCCTAAGTGGTTTTGGGGCGTCTCCGGGGACGAGAAGGGAGGGCATCAGGAGCCCGCCTCGGTGGGCAACCGAGCGGCCAAGGGAGGTGACTTGTCCCAAGACGTCTGAGAGGCAGATTGGAAGTGACAGCCGGACTCATGTTGGGTTCAGCCTGAATCCAGGAAAGTGCCACCCCAGTTCCTGCCACTCAAATATTCTCTCTCACCTACAAAGTGACTTTTTTTCTGGCGTGATTTTCTCCCTCCGTTCAGCCTCAGAGATAATACTCGTGATTACCAGCGAGGGTGGTGGAAGCCAAGCTTAATCACCATAATTGACAATTAAGCTGGGTAACAACATGGAGACAGGTGATTTCACACAAGGCTAATGAAAATGGGCTATTAAAATCCGCACACGTTTGGCAGCAATTATGAGCTCCTGGAGCCATTTGCTTTGAAATGTGCGCATTTCACAGGCGGCTGCCTGCCAACGAGACAGCTCGGAGCAGGACGCAGAGAAAGAGGGGAGTGGGTGCACCCGCGCTCGGCGTTTTCAAGCCAAAGGAAGAGCAGCGCCCTCCTGGGCCCGCAGAGCCCGGTGGGGCTGGACACCGACAGGAGAGGGAGCCCCAGCAACATGGGGCGGGGCGGAGCGGCCCTGGAGTGAGCGCGGGGTCCTGTGGTTGGGGGCAGGATTGGGGGACGGTTTTCACCAAGTGTGAAACAAGGGGGTGATCGCCGCCTCTCAGTCCTTTCCACAAAGGCCCTTGGCTCAGATGAGGCGCCTCCTGGTCTCACTCGCGTCTATGGGCCCCACCGTGACCCCCGACCCCTCACTCTGGAGAAAGCCCGTCCTTGAGGTGGCGCCGGCCCGCGGGGCGGGAGGAGGCCGCTTTGTCCTTAAAGGCAGGAAACCAGAAGACAGAGCAGGACAGGCTCCGTCCCGGGCAGCCTGTGACCGAGGATGCCCCTCCCGCCTCCCGCCTCCCGCCTCCCGTGTTTTCTCACTTCACTTCGTTTACTGCAGTTACACGTGGTGCTGCTCAGCCTTTACCTTTCCTCCGGGGAGGGCCCAGGCGCTAACAGGCGCGAGGTGCTCGTCCAGGACCTGCCCGGCTCGTGTCCGTGTAACGCATGTGATCTGCGGGGAGTCCATGCGTGTTTGGTCATGCGGACGTGTTCAGTCTCACCCCCAGTTCCTGGCTCCTGGCCCCCAAAGCCCGGGAGTGTGTTAAAGGTGTCTGTGGTAAATGTAAATGTGAATGAAAATAGCCCAGGATGGGGGGCTCGTTGCCCGGAGACCCCACCATGTGATTAGAGGCGTGGCACTTCCCAGGCCAACCCAGGCCTCCAGGGAGGGGCGGCTGGGAGGGGAGTTGAAGGCCAGGGGCCGATGCGCTCATCAGTCAGGCTGAGACGATGAAGCCCCCAGCAAGAAGCGGGGGGACGGGCCTGGAGAGCTGCTGGGTGGTGGTCCCCGGAGCCCGCGCGGAAGCGCTGCGCCTCCTCCGGCCGCTGTCCGTGTCACACACTCCATAGATAACTCCTCCTGGAGCAGGGGGCCTTCCTGAATGTTGAGCCAGTCTAGCCAGTGCATCAGCCCCGAGACCCGTCCCGGGCCCTGTGACTTGGAGCCGGCCAGAAGCACAGTCCTGGGCCGCGGCTGGCACTGAGGTGGAGGGTGGCGTCGAGGGCCAGGCTCGGGCGAGGTGGACGGGCACAGGCCCGCGGAGAATGACAGGATAGAAACATGGACGTTGAGAGGCGCTGCGTGCGCAGGAGCCGGCCCGGAGGCCTGGCGGGAGGGAGGTGATGGCCTCGGCTGGGGCCGTGGTCACTTCTGGAGCCTCCCGCGTCTCTGCTGCCGGCGTGTCCATCTAGCACGTTCCCCCGCGCCAGTTCAACAGGGCCCTTAGTGAGCTGCAGTTGGTATAAAAGGCCCCGGAACTGAGCATTTCGGGGGTGCCTCATCAGGTGCCCCCGGCCTGCTGCTGCGGGGAGAGTTCTGCCTTCCTGCCGCTGAGGACATCCCTTGCCGCGCGCCCACCCCCCACCCCCGCCAGCCTCAGCCTTGGGGCGCACCCAGGACCCGCCACGGGGACCCTGCGCCGCCCGCCCCGGCGCTGCTGGGACCCTAAGCGTAGCCTTCAAAGGCAAAACGTCCCTTCCTTTTCTGAAGGAATAACTTGGGGATCACCGATTCCCGAGAGACAAAACACACGCGCTGCTGCGAGCATTTTGCTGGTAGATTTCACGAATCAGTTAATTATTTTGTAAGATAGAAAACGCTATAAATGAAGGCCCTAGAAATTTAAAAATTACCTGACGTGAATTATGGTGTGTTGATCGCATACCGTAACTTCCTTAGATAGGGGCTGGAGCACCGGCACCCCGACTTCTGTTCTCTCTTTTCCCTCCGCGGTGTCCGGGTGCCCACGTCTGCCCCGCGGCCTCCACCTCTGGGGGGGTCTCTGGCCCCGCGCGCCCCCTGGGTGGCTCCCTGGGCTTTCCTCTCGCCCTGTGGGCGCGGCCCGTCTCCCCTCCCTCGGCGTCTCCTCGCCAGTCACCTGGCCGTCGTTTCGGGTCCCCGCGACAGTTCCAGAGTCTGAGCCCTGCTCCGCCTCTCCAGACCGGTCTTAGGTTTTTTGTGTTTTGGTTTTTTCCCTGCGGCCTAACGAGTCCTAATTTTCATGAAAGGCGTGTGCGGCGGGTCCCGGGAGGGAAAGGACTTTCCTGCGAGGTCCTGTGTTCATCCGGGGAGGAGCTGGGCTGCCAGCGCTTGCCCTGGGGACAGCCTCAGGGTCCAGAGTCCCGCCTGTCCTGGTTTCGGATCCTCCAAGCCCAGCTGTGACCTGCTGCGGTGCCCCGGCGCCCTGGGGGCTGCCCCTCGGCCTGTCTCCGTCGGACCTGCCGCCTGGGCTGTGACGTGTCCCGCAGCTCCCCCTTTGGGGAGCAGGGAGCTCGGAGGCCGCTGGGCTTCATTATTGTCCTCGCCCCGGGTGGACAAGGCTCTCGGGAAGCGTCTGTCCTCAGTGAGGAGGCGTTCACGACAGAGGCTTGTCCCTCACTGCCCCTGCCTGGGTGGGGCTGGGGGGGGCTCCCCATGGTGGCTCCTCACCGGGAAGCAGTCCCGCTGGGAGTTCTGGAGGCAAACACCACGGACTGACCGTGGCCCCCAGGCATTTCTTCTTCTCGCAGTAGCTCAGCTCCGCCCCTGTCGATTCACAGAAGCTCCCGTGTAATTATTCCCGCCCGCTGAGGAGCGCAGAAGCCGGTGCTCCGGGGAGGACGATGCAGCCATGGGCCTGCCTGGTTTTGTCCCCTATGCCATCTGACTGGCTTCGCCTGTCGACGGGCAACGAGTGTGTTTTAGATTTACCACTTACGCGCCGACCTGCTTCACTGTTTTATGTCGGGCTGTGTCTCTTGCTTCTTAAATCGGATTTCTGTCTTCCCTCTAAAAAGGGAGAGGCCTTGGTTTCATCCCGCCACACCCTCGCTCCATGCGCGCAAGGCCACGGAGCGTTATTGTAAAAGGAGTGAAGGGGGCCACCCCGGCGGCGCAGCGGTTGAGCACCGGGTTGCGAAGCTGCCTGCAGCCTCTGCAGCGCCGGTTCAGTCCCACATGGCGCACAGACCTCTCCTGCCGCCCGCTGCTCCCCTCAGCAGTGTACTTCGGTCCTTCTGCCTGTTCTGTTCCCTGCTCTGGCTCTGGTGAATTCTCTCACCCTCCCGGGCTTCTGACTGTACCCAGTGCTTGATAAAAAAAAAAAAAAAAAAAAAAAAGTGACGGAATGAACTTTGAAACAAATTTTTTATTTATCAAAACTTCAGAAGTGCATGAGTGCCAGGAACTTAGGATGTACTAAGTCCCTCAAACCAGACGAGGGCGGCTGCTTGTCTGTGGGCCTGTTCACCCCCTCGCACTGGACAGTCCCTCCAAACGTACTTTTTTTTTTTTTTTTAGATTTATTTATTTATTTATACAAGCACTGGGTACAGTCAGAAGCGCGGGAGGGTGAGAGAATCCACCAGAGCCAGAGGGGAGAACAGAACAGGCAGACTGACGAAGTACACTGCTGAGGGGAGCAGCGGGCGGCAGGAGAGGTCTGCGCGCCATGTGGGACCCTCGCTGGTGGCCGGGGATCGAACCGGCGCTGCCGAGGCCGCAGCCCGGCACTCAACCGCTGCGCCCCCGGGGAGGCCCCGAATGTACTTCTAAACTGGGTCTTTTGTTGGGGCGAATCCGAGATTTTTTGGACATACCATAACGCGTGTAGGCGCAGGTTCTTCTCATCTCTTCTGCTCGGTATTCTGTGAACACCGTCAATCTCACGTAGCTAATCATTCCTTAATTATGAGAAATTGGTCTCCCCTAATTTTTAAAAAATTCATCTCTATGTTCCTTTCCTCAGCAACACTCCCTGTCACAGCTCATAGACATTATACGTGTGTGTGTGTTTTGTCCATTTCTCTGCTTTTATTCCTTTTTTGAGTTTCAGTCTAATTTTTAACTCGCATTCCTGTTACATCCACCTGTCCCAGCCTTTGATGTTTGCCCACCTACTTTCCACACCTAATATTTCCACTTGGTTCTTTTTTATATGTAATTTTAACTTTTCAGTTGAAGTAGTTTGCACCCCCAAGTGTCTGGTCAGAAGCTGCTTCCCGGGGACGTCTGCTGATGTGCACTGGGGCAGGGCAGGGGGGCAGCCCTGTCCAGATGTTCACATCATCGGCTCTGGGGAGTCAGAACAGTCCTGGCAAACTAATACATGCGTAAAGAGGAAACAGGAGGGGAAACGGGGTGACCCCCCGGGGAGTGTTCCCTCACGAGCACCTTGTTACAAGCAGGGCAGAAGCAGGAGGCTGGGGGTAGCACTGAAGCCTGCTGAGAGGTCAAGATGGGAACTGAACAATGTTCCTGAACTTAGCGACTCGCGGTCACCGGCGCTCTTAGCAGACCGAGGACAGGGTGGATGAGCGGGGACCACATGCCAAGGTGATCTGGGCGGTTCTTGGGGCAGAGGACAAGCAGAGAGGGGGGAGGTTCTTTTCAGTGGGAGATACTTGACCTTGTCTGCGTCCATGGAAAGGTTCTCATTGAAACTGAACGTCGGGGAAGGGGACAGTGACAGTCCCGAAGGGCGCAGGGGGAGCTTTATGCGGGCGATGGGGCTGACCTGTTCTACCTAGAAGCGGGAGATGCGCACAGGGACCCCCTCAGCGGCTGCGGTGAGGAGGGGCCGCCCCTTTTCTGGCTGGTGAAGACCCTGTTTTTAAGTTGTCCGAGTCCTAAATGAGCTCAGCTGTGCCTGGTCACTGGCATCGCTTCCTCGCGTCCTGGCACGTGGCTGGCGGTTTCCGGTGTGATTCTGAGTCTTCCCCTTCGCGCCCGTGGGTATGTGAGTGAGAAATCGGGAGACGCTTCAAAGGGCAGTGGCGAGTGAGACGCCAGGGAAGTGACACGCTTCCCTGCGGTCCTTGAGGGCTACACTGCAGTCCGAGGCCGTCTGGGGACGTCTAATGCCCTTCCCGGACTGTTGGCCAGTCACGTCCACACCGTTCCAGCCCCGCCGCTGCTGAGCGCCTGCTGCCGCGCGGGCGCCGAGGAACAGGGGAGGCGCCTTAGCGGACTTACCTTCTCGGTTACATAATGACTTTGAGGTACAACAAATCAAGGGCCATAAACCCCGTTAGTTCAGGCGGTGAGTAAACTACAGGAAATGCCATTTTCTGGATTCTTCACGCTCAGGCTTGAGAGGGGGCGCAAGAGAAGGAAGGGGCTGCAGGGAGGCGGGCAGGGAAGGACGCAGCAGCAGAGTGGGCGGGAAACTGCAGGACGCCTTTGGGAGGCCAGAAGGATGATTACGGTAGAAGGCAATGAAGTCACAGGAAGCAGCAGAAGGAAGTGTTTTGGGGGGATGAAAGAATCATTCGTTTAGGGTCTCGGAGTTCTTCGGCACAGATGTCCAGTCAGATCATGAAGGGCGGCTGCTGGAGGAGCCAGCAAGAACCCCCCTCCCCCCAACGTGCTGAAGAGCGGGTCCCGGCTGGGTCTCCCCGAGGTCTGGGGTCCCCCCATCAACAGCCCAGGACCGAGGCGGCTGAGGCGCCCTGACTGTTGAGGGTCCTCCAGTAGCAGAAACCGGGCAGCCTGAGGCCAGCAACCGAGACGGCGGCCCCACGCGCGCGGGAGAGCTGCAGCTTCGAGTCCACCGCGACTCTACTCGGCCTCTGCCCTCGGCACCTGCACAAGCTCCTCAGCTTACTCTGCAGTCCATCGGGCAGGTCTCTAGGCCAGGGAGTCGGCTTCTAGGTTTTGATGCTGGACAGGGAAAAGGTCGGACGTGCCCCTCCCAGGGCCAGGCCTCGGGGTGCTGCCAGGAGGCAGGAAGCAGATGCAGCCACTTCCTTCTGGCAGAGCCGCCCTGTCCTCCTCCCATTGCCTTCACATCTCCTTAGCCCAGACCGTCTCTCCCTCTGGAAAGAAATCATCTGAGGGAGGACAAGATGAGGGGAAAGAAATCAATGAAACCTTAGAGAAATAAAATTTATTATGCAAATGGCTCTTCAAGCTAGAGCCCGGGAAGCTGTGCGTCCCTGCACCACGGGCCCCGGTCGGAGTGGCACACCCACGGGCAGAAAACTGGCCTTTCGAAAACAGTATCTCAGAGGCCCCTCAGACGGGGGTTCGTTTTTGAAATACTCGATTCCAGTAGCTCATCAGCTGGTGGCTGAGGCTGACACCGAAGGCCAGTTAAGGCACCAGGGGCCCGGAGGCGGCGGCCGGAGAAGGCGGGCCGGCAGTCTTGCTTCGAGGGTAGTAGTAGCTGGTGAGGACAGTCAAGGAAGAGGTAGGATCACTTCAGAATCGACTTGACTAAAGCGACTGTTCTCTAGCAGTGACGGAAATCGCCACTCCAGCAGTCCCGCGCCAGCACCCAGCCCCTCCGCACTGCTCGTGCGCCTCACCGCCTTGTCGCTTTTGTTGTCTGAGGTACTGACTTTTTTTTTTGACACTGGTTGACTCATGCAAGCTTTTAAAGCGATTTAAATATCCTGAAAAACCACTGAGTAAGCTAATTTTGATAAGTAAAAAGATGGACTTTCTGCAGGATTACAGCACTTGGGGGTCAATTCAGCTGCTGCTTATGATTTTGGATTCAATACAGCAGTTCAAACAATGCTAATTTACACAGCAAGGGGATCATTAGAAGAAAATACTGTTCCAGCAAAACTAGATTACATCCTGATGGACAAAATGAATGTTCACACTGTGTCTTAAGAATAGGCTGAGAAATAATTTGGATAGGCTGAGAAATAGTTCACTTGTTTGTTTGCCTAATTGTTTTTGGTTTTTTGCTTAATTGTTTCAGCTAATAGAATGAAGTTCTTAGAATTAGATGTTGGGCTACAGACCTAAGGAGTCTCTAGAGAAGTGCTGTGAAAAGGATTCAGTATGTTATCAGATGTCAGCTGTTGGATTAAGTCCCCCCTTTTATCTAGCTATTGGCACCCAGCATTTCTAATTTTTTTAAAAAAGATTTATACAAGAACCAGGGTACAGGCCAGATATGCGGGAGGGTGAGAGGATCCACCAGAGCCAGAGCAGGGAACAGAACAGGCAGACTGACGAAATACACTGCTGAGGGGAGCAGCGGGCGAGACAGGAGCGGTCTGCTGCGCCATGTGGGACCCTCACCAGCTGGCCGGGATGGAACCAGTGCTGCTGAGGCTGCGGATAGCTTCACAGCGCTGCGTTCAACTGCCTGCACCACCAGGGAGGCCCAGCATTTCTAATTTTGAGAACGTCATTCTATTAACCCAGCATTTCTGGGTGCCAATAGCTAGAGTGTATCTCCTAATACAAGTCAGGAAGTGCTTGTTGAAGAGGGGCACAGAGGGATAAGTGGCAAAAAGAGGACTTATCCTTAGGGTAAACAGTGATTCCGGGAAATGCCGGACGTTTCCCTTGAGTTGGGAGCGCGCACCCCGAGGTTCCCGGAAGGATACATGTAGGTCGGGATGCCTTTTGCAGCCAGATGCTTCCGGATAAGCCGCTCGGTGCCGTACCAGTTAAAGCCTTTTGTGGTGTGTCCGATGCGTGGAAGGTGAACGCTTGCTGTTAGAGAGAGGAGAGCGTGACATCTTCATCAAAAACTGGTTAATGGATACAAAATATACACAGGAGCAGACAATCTGTACTCTGTGGCTGCCAAGAGACAGGATGTACGTGACCACGGAGTGTCCCTCTCCCAGCGCACAATCGCCATGTCCACAATGGTGGGGAGGTTATAATAGAAGAAAAGGTCTGTGGAACGCAGGACCTGTGCACTTGGGAAATAGAATATGATCAAGAGATTGAAACAGGAGTCAACAAGCGCTGAGACAGAGTCTGGACACTGAGCTCGACAAAGCAGACTGACTGTCCAGAGAGGGTCTGCAACGGCCTCTCCCAGAGGCAGGGCCCGTGCACGCATCTCTGCTCAGTCACCTGCAGAGCTGGGGTGCAGACACCCCCACTGGGAAACAGTCCGCAGAGGGCGCTAGAGAGAAAAAGGGTTGAGCACGTACAAACACTGTGGTGGCGGCTACTCTGGCCCTTGTCCTGGGTTCACACCACATCCCTGGAGACAGAAGGCCCCTAGTCCCAAGCACAGACGGCAGAGCTCACCTTTCCTTTCCTTTGCTGCTACGAATATCTTCCTCAGGCCCTCTTCCAGGGCCGCCATCTTAATGCCGGACAGGACGTTGGTGTGGTCGCGGTGCTGAGCCACAATCAAAGCTAACTGGGCGGGACAAGCAGTCATGATCAGTGAAAGCAGGGGACGCGTTGTCCAGGGGGCACAGCCCTTTACTGGCCCCTCCGCATTGGCTCCATCTCTCTCGGATGCTCCAAGTAGCCACGTCCTACCACATGATGACTTCACACCCTTCCCTGTACTTGTTTTGTGGTAACTGTTTTCCTTCCTCTCTTTAACAAGTTTCAGCCAGGATCTAAGACCTGCTGTCCTTTCTAAGTGCTCTCAAGTAGGGAAGGACTTGGAGGGTCTTGCACTCTGGCCTCCAGCTGAGGCCAGTCGGCTCCATGCCCGCAGGGTGAGCTGTCTTCCCTCACTCTCAACTAAGCCCTGAGAGAACAGAGGGCCAAGAACCTCCCTCCCCCACTGCTCTGCCTAAGCAGGGGGCGGCTGGGACTGAAACCGCTAGTCCAACCTGGACCTGCCGTTCCACCTGCCCTAGGCTGTTCTCGAGCCGCCGCATCATTCTTTCCTGAACAGTGTGGAGATGCCTGGGTGAGCAGAGCCCCCAGCCTCAAGCAAGGTGCCCTTTTAGCCAGATAGCGCCTCTTTCAGTCACTAAGATTTGGCACTACTGTGAATACAGATTCAGGCCTTGGCGAAAGGGGAAGCAGGTGTGGTTCATCAAGCACCTCACGGGAGGTGCAGGCGGGGAAGCAGGCCCGTGGCTTCGGTGTGTGCTTGCAGAGCACTTCCTGTGAGCCGGCTGCTGGCGAGGGGCTTTGGCGGGCAGCGTGGGGGCAGGGAGTGGAGGATGAGGCCCACCTGCTTGTAGGGGTTGGATTGTGCCCCCAAAATTCATGTTAATTTCTTAACTGCTGAGGGTTAGAACTTCGTTTCTGGAAACAGGGCCCTTAAAGGGATTGGGAAGTTAAAACGAGGTCTTGAGGATGACCTAGCCCGGTCTGGCGGGTGCCCTTGTAAGGGCGATGCCGGGAAGCGCCTGCCCAGAGAAACAGTGGCCGGCAAGCCCAGGAGAGGCTCAGAGGAGCCACCTGGCCGGCTTCTCCGCCTGAAGCCTTCAGAACTGGGAGGAAATAAATTTCCTTTTTTCTAAGCCACCCAATCCATGGGAGAGCGCCCAGGGGCAGAGGCTTCAAGAGATGACAGGAACTAAATCTTAGCTCTGAAAAGGGGTGCATTTTACTTACCAAATCTTGCCCTTTGCTTCTCGACTCTTTATCATCAATAGGAAATAAAAGGACTCCTCCCAAACTCAGGTCTGAGGTAGAATAAACGGGGAGCAACAGAAGGAACGTCAGGTCACCGGGGGCTGAGGCCGGCGACAGACTATTCTGAGTCCTCCTAACGCCCGCTGAAAGGCGAGCAGGCGCGGCTTCCGTGTACCTTCTCTCTCCTGGCCTCAGTCACTGCCCCGGGTACTCATTTCATTCCTCAATTCCCTTCCCTTGAAAGCTTTTACTTTAAAACTGTGGTGAGATACACACAGCATACAACTTACCATCTTAACCCATTTGCTTCTTCCAGACTGCCCTTCCCTAGCGAAGGACAGCCACACCCACGCCACCCCCGAGATCGGGGTCTACTAAAATCTTAGAAAAGGGCTCAGAAAAATCAACTGAAAGCAAAATGGTCAGTCAGGGCCTCACGGTGTGTTACTATTTACTCACTCTCTTTAAAATCAGCAGGTCTCGAACCACAGCGAGTTAAGAAGGCCCCTCGGACCAGGCCCTAAAGGCCTCTTCAGAAAGCTGACATCCAGGTGAGTAACATCCACCTATTTCCCCTGTATCCCCGTCACTTTAGCCTGGAAAGACAATGCTCTAACCCTAATGCCACAAAGCATGGGTGCTGGGAAGTTCAAGACGGCTGGAGCTGCCACATGATGCCTCGGTCTCTTGGCCCTGGACACAGGCCCTCAGCAGCCCCTGCCCTAACCAGTGACCTCCCCAGCAGCCTCCTCCTGGCCTAGGTAACATAACACCAAGAGGACATGCTCCCAGGCGTCCTGCTTGCTTCTGTAGTGTATTCCGTGAGGACAGGACCCCCCAACTAGCTGACAAGTGCCGGGCACACCCCTCGCCCATCCGCTGGGGCCTCTCCACCATGCCAACAACTCCCATCTGTCCACTCTCCCCAGGTGGGTTCTGGAAAACCTGGGTGACATCTCAGACCCACGGTTTACTGATGTCCTTAAAACATCCACAAGCCCAACCATTATTGAGGCGGCTCTGCGGAGTCACTTGAGCCCCCTCAGGATCTATTTTCACCCGTGGGGGAGGATCTGACCCTCCTACTCTAAGGCGGGCTCACAAAGGCATCGGCAGCTGAAGCATGAAAGGGTTCTACCTAACTGGACAATTTCCTTCACCAATGAGGCTAAATTCAAGTCCTAGCTTATAAGATACCAAGGATAAAAGACGAGAGAAATGCTGGCTGGATGTGAGGATAATCGAGAACAAAGCATAGCGGTCGGGTTCCTGTCACCAAGACATGATGCAAACCCTTTCAGCCGCCCTCGGAGGAACAGCAGATGCGTGTCGTCCTAGACGGCGCCTCCACCAGCACACCCGACACCCGGAAACCTGCGAAGCCCTCCCCCAGGCTCTTCCCGCAGAACCGGACAGCTGGTTCGTGAGTCACCTTGGGGCCCAATCGTCGCCCTCTGTCTTGTTTCTGCCGTATCTGGGTGTCTAATGTGGGGTCCAGTGCTGCTCAAAACCTCAGAAAAAATTGCAGCGTAACTGCAGAATTCAGGTTCCCATCCAGGACAGGACATGCACACCCCACTCGGGGACGCCCCCATCTTAAACACCCACTCGGGGCCTCGCCCCCGTTACCACTTCAGTGCCTCACGCTGCAGACCCTGCTTTTCCCTTCCCCCCAGATACTCCTCTCTAGGTCCCTTGTTTCTGGCAATTCCGTCTTCCTCCCAGATGCCTCTGCTGCCTGCCCCACACATCGCTGCCTGCCTCCCTCGCCGGGTCAGCACGGCCCAGACGGCCCTCTCCAGCCTGCACCTCTAGCTCCAAACAGTGAGCGGATCAATACCTAGACCTGAGTCACTTAGTCAACCCACATGAAACCCCTCTTTCAGGACCCGGTCTGAGGAAACAGTCACCCGAATAAGTCCTTCCATCCGCCTTCACGCAGGAGAGCTGGCTTTTCCTCACTCTGCTGTCCCAGCCGAAGGGCCCTTCGACTCCCCCCAGCCCCCCTGCTAAATGCCAGGGATCCTTTCCCCCTCGCAACCTGGTGATTTCTGCACCTAAAAAAAAATTCCCTTCTCTGTGCCAAGCGAGACAGATTTGCCTTCCAAGTTCTCCTAGTCCCAAAGGCTTTACTTTGTCTCCAGGAGGGGCCGCGCCCAGCCCGCACTGACGTCCACACATCAGCACCACCTCAGCTCTCGTTCCTAACGCGCGTCTGCTGTCTCCCCGCCCAGGTCTCTGACCACCTCAGAGGCAACTCCTTGTGAAGCTGGGGGGAGCTGGGAAATACTGCCGTGGCCTTCACGCCAGCGCGTCAACATTCAGCACCCTGCTCCCGGCCCCACGCAGCAGCTGGCGTGAGCACTACTCCCAGCTCACAGCGAGGAAGCGGGCACAGGTGCGTAGGGCACGCGCCACACAACCAGCTCCCTGACGAGACCCCAGCTGCCTCTTCCTGCTCCTCAGCTAACGCCTCACGCCCTGCGTACCCTCCTCTCCGCGTCCATCCCAAGCCCTTCCCTCCGCCTCGCCGCTTACCTTCCATCTTCCCGGCCAGCTCGTAGATTTTCCGCGGCTCCGTGGACCGTGTTTCCAGAGCTGTGAACAGGCCGCCTCGGCCCCAGCGGCCAGAGTCATCTGATGGGAGGGAAAACGCGCACCTGTCGGCGGCAGTGTTCGTTCTGCACGGGCGCTGACGGGGTGCGGGGGGGAGTCCGTTCTGCACGGGCGCTGACGGGGTGCGGGGGGGAGGTTGCCTAACGGACTCGGGAAGAACGACTGGTCAGAGGAAAGAAATAAATAGCTAATCTTTCTAGTGCTTTGGATTTCTCCACCATGTTTCAGTTTTCTGAGCTATACCTGGCCTCCGAACAGGACAGCACTGGAAAAGTGAGCGTTGGAAGAGCAAAGCCTCTAGATACACCGGAGAGCTACAGCACCCGGGGTGCACAGCACAGGCCTCCACGATGCGGGGGGGGGGGGGGGTGTCACACCCTTACTCAAGTGGGCACCCACACGGTGCGTCAGCAGCTTCTGTTTGTAAATCACCCACTCTGTCCTACGTGTCCAGCTGCCCTCGGTTGTAGCAGTGGCAAAAAAAAAAAAAAACCTGCTCCCTCAGTTTATTCCCCAGTGCAAGGAGAGCCCAACAGGTGCTTTACATGTCAGGCCGTCAGATGTGTAAAAAAGTGAAAGAAGAGGAACTAGAGACAACAGCCCGTCCCCACACCTCTGCTATGGGAGCAGCAGACACCGAACAGCGGGGCTCTCTGGGGAAGTGAGGAGCCAGGAGCGCGCCGGGTCCTGCTTCTGGTCAGAACCCTCGGTGCGGAGAACAGGCGGCCTCGGCCGCTACACGGATGAGGGCGGGGAGGCTGGGGAGTCGGAGCCCTGCCGCCGGCCTGTGCGCCCCCACCCCGCCCCGGCTCCTACCCACACAGTGCACCACGATGGCGTCCTCCGGCCCGGCCTGCGGGTGGGTGACGTCGCCGCTCAGGTACTTGATGGACGTCGAGTCCGGGTCTTCATGATCCAGCTGGGCCGGGCGCTCGTCTTCCCCACCCGTCAGGTCCTCGGGCTCGCTTTCCTCGGAAGGCAGGCAGGCGGACCGGTAGTTGTTGGACTCCCACCAGGCCATCCTGCGGCGGGCCAGAGAGGAGATCAGCCGGGCCCAGCGCGTCTCCCCTGAGCACACGGCGTGCTGCTAGTCACAAGTGCCGAGTGCCGAGGGGAAAGGCGACTCGAAACCCCCTGACTGAGGTTTGCTGCCTCCTTATAAATGAATGAGAAGCCTGGCTGATCGCCTGATGCCTGCTGACTCTACTGCAATAATGAGCCGCCACCACGTCGGCTCCCGAGAACGTAACCAGCCGATGTTCAAGGCAACCACTCTTTGTCAGGCGGCGACAATAAAATCTCAAAATCTTGCTTCCACTGAATGCGCCTTCTCTGCCCTAGGCCTCCGGACTTTCCACTGAAGCAGACGCTTCCTCTTCAAGAGTGTATTCCCTCGCCAGGAGGCGCTGTGACCTGCACAGACGTGTCCTGCGCTGGGACGGTCAGCTCTGGGCGTGCTGACCAGCAGCAGCTCCTCTGCCGACTGTGACCCCGAGGCTGAATAACAATACCCACGACCCGAGGAAAGAGACAAGTGTAAAACAGCGCACACGTACTTTTTCTTATGTTCGGCTTCTTCCTTTTTCCTTTGCTTCTCCTCCATCAGTCTCCTCCTCTTGGCCGCGGCTTCCTGTCTCTTTCTCCTCCTGTGCTCCAGCTCCTCGGGGCTAAGAACCCGCCTCCTTTTGGCCACCTCCACGAGCCCTGGCATGACAGCCTGCGGGGAGAGTGCGCGTCCCTCAGCCCCGGGTGCTCGGGGCTTCACCGGACACTGCAGCTCCGCGCCCCCGGGGGTGGTGGACGTGGGGGCAGCACACTCAGGGCAGGCTCAGAGCCCACGTCTGGGGGGGTGTGGGGACCAGGGGCGCTGGGCTTGGCCAGGGCACAGGTGAGGCTGGGCAGCTGCGCGTCGTTTGGGTTCATTTCGTCAGCAATGAGGTACCCCAGGAAAGTAAATTTTAATTTCACGCATAGCCTGCAAGATGCCATTTTTTAGGCAAACCTTCCTATAACGTAGTGTATCATTCTTAAGCAGAGTATTTCAACACCCTGCGGCTCTGTCAGCATCAGGACTGTCTCCGTGACTGTCAGCATCTGACGAGCGCAGTCTAAGCCCCATCGCTGTGCCCGCCACCTCTCAGGGTCGCCGCCGCGGGCCCCCGCGGCGGGCTGTGGTGTAAACTGACCCCTCCGGTAGCTCGGGGCAGGGCTATCACCCACCTCAGCTTGTGAAACACACGCCCTCTGCTTGTGCTTTTATGCACAGTTTTCCTACGAGGCTACATAGTTACTTATGATTAAACTTCAACCGATACTTACACGCGCGTTTCTTAACAGATCACTCCCGGATCATTGTTCTGCTCTTAGGGTGAGTTTGGAAAAATCATTCTTTTACATAAAACAATCGTCCTTACACTGCCTTTATTTCGAAGCAGCCGACCTCCTTGGCTTGTTTCCTCCAAAAGGGTTTTCTGAAGATTCACCAGCTGCTCAAATGATTCTCTGTCCTCTTTACTAGGTTCTTTAGAATAATCTTTACCTTCAAATAAGTACATGTGGTTTTCTGAAAACGTGAAATACACAAGAGAAAAACGTTAAACACTGAAGAAAAACGGGTCAGTACTATCGACCGGTAACCAGGGCGGAGGAGAGCAGCCCCTGTCCTAAACGGGCTCGGGCCTGCCTGTGCTGGGGTCACCTCGCCAGCCCCTCGGCCACGGTGGGCTGGGGATGCCACACGTGTGCTTTTCAAAAGAGCGGAGCTCAGATGGTCTGAGTCGGGGGAAGGGGGTACCTCCACCTGCTGAGCCTCACGGCGCACCCCTCATTCTTCACTACTCCTCAGCGTAGCTCTGCCTGCCCACAGGGTCGGCTGGTGAAGGTAACAGGCTATGCACCGTCCCTCAGTCACGGTTCAACTGGCAGATTTTGCTACCACTGTGCCAAAGCAGTGCACATTCAGTAGGGACAGGCCTTAGATCTAGTGTTGCTCTTTCCCCCCAGGCTTGCGCATGCAGTGAAACACTCGCACGATGCCAGGCGAGGCAGCAAGCCATGGCCCCCGCGGCGACGCCAGGCAGACCACCAGCACCCCGCGTGCACCGCCGCCAGCGGCCTCAACTCGGGCATTTCCAACTTAGGGCAGGTCCTCACGATGCAACCTCAGCATAATGTGAGGAAGTTCTATACTCAGAACACACTGTGACTATTCCAGAAGGGTGGCAAGGAGTATTAAAAGGAATGAGGGGGAAATCTGAGAATGTAAGAGTCACAACTACAATCCTCAGATGTACACTATTCTTTACACTCCCCTGAGCATCTTCACAAGCCTCACCCCAGTCCTGGTGTAACAGCCCTTATCAAGGGGGAAGTAAGTTCAGATGGAGATCAGGGGACCCCCCAGTTCTCACTGCTCATCAATAAGACGAAGGCTTTTCTGATGACTCTGGGTGGACCCGCTCAGGGCTGTGTGTCCAGAGGATGGAGGACACAGGCCAGCGGTGACAATGACCAGAGTGTCACCTGGAGCAACTGGGCCTGTCACCTTAGTGCTCACGCCTGATGCTTCTGCAGCTGAGCAGGGCGGGGACTGACACGCCATTTCGCAGATGAGGACACAAGGGCTCCGAGAGGTGGGTGGTCTGCCGGGATCACGGGTCGACGATGAAGCCGTGACAGGTCAGAGCAGCCCCCAGAGCGCGCAGGGAGCAACTCTAAAGCGAAGCGGCCTTACCAGCACATTACCCCAAAAATGTCTTTTCGCTGCATTATGAAAGCAGCGATAAGTATGTTTTCCCTGGAGAGCGGGAAAGCAAAACATTTTCGTTCTCAAGAGATCAATCGCTTCGCACTTGTACCCAAATCCAGCCAGCTGCAGTTCTAATTGGCATCTGCTAATTAAATCAGCAGGGGCCCCGACGAGGTGCTCCATCCACAAGTGGGAGGTAAAGAGCGGGGAAGTGTCAAGTCTGATCGGCGCGCGCGTCCGCCGGCACGTGACTCTCCACTCACACACAGGCTGTTAAAACCCGGCACTCGAGATGAAGCGGCCTGTTCTGTTCCGGCTGGCTTCTCAGTGTGACTGGGGCCGCGTTCATTACTGCCACTGCTCTCACTGGTAATCATTCCCCCGTCTCTGCAGCCGGGAGGGGCTCGGGCACCCCCAGGCCGGCCCTCGCCGACGTCCCGTCAGCGGACCTGTGCGTATTTGTCCAAGACAAAATTCCAGATTTCAATACCATGGGGATCCCTTCTGGCGGTTGGGCTGCCTGAAAAAAATCTATTTTGGGGCAGATGAACTGACAGAGAACTGTAATTATTTCTTCTGGAAAACAGTAAGGTTTTGTTTTGTTCTAGTAAATGCTACCAAAAGCAAGCTGATGTTAGTTTAGGCGCCACAGAAATGGGTTAAGTGTCCATGTTCCATCCGGGTTGTCGGAAGTCATGACGGATTTTTTCTGTTGTTCAAGCAAAAATGCGTCATGATTTTTCCGACAACCCGATGTAATGAAACGTGACTTGAAAACAGGTCGCCTCTCCCGAAGCCACCCCTTCGTGGTGGCAGATGGATTTTAAAAAGACCGAAGAGGCACCAGTGGATGGAAATGTACATAACTGCAGCCGAGGGGGCGGGAGCGCCGGGAGCAGGACGCGCCAGGGGCGGCACGAGGCACGGCGCGGGGTGCAGGAGACCCGGCTGGGCTCGCAAGCAGCAGGAGCACGGTGGGCCCCACGCCCCGTGTCTCTGCGGGTTACACCGGCCGCCCTCTCCTTTTCAACGAGACCCAGTCGGCCTCCCCTGCGGACACTCGAGCTGCCAAAGACGCCAGGCGCAGACCCCGGAACCAGGACCAGGGGCCCGGCCCAGCAGCCTGGTGCGTCTCTCGCGTCACACGCCGGGGCCGGCAGGAAAACACCAGGAACAAGAGATTCCGAAACCAAGTCCTAAAAAGGGGGAAGCAGCGGGAGCAGAGAGAGAACGGGGCAGGGGAATACTTTCTTAAAGCGATGAGGATAAATATCCCCCTGGGGCGGCTCCCTGAGGATAGCACAGCCCTATAATGAGAAGGGATGCGCTTAAAGTAACGAGAAAACAGCGAAGATCTTGAAGAATAAAAATGCGACATAATGTAAATTCCTAAAGCCGGAGTCCCGGGCCCTCACGCCAGCCACCCCGCTGCAGGCGCCCACATGGCCAGTCACCCCAAGCCAGGCTGGCAACACAGCCAGGGGTTGGCATGGCACAACCTCCGGCTGCAGGCCGGGAGGAAAGTGACCACCTGACACCAGCTGAGCCGCCCCGAGCCCACACTGGAGAGGGGCCCAGGAGAGCGGAGAGGGCTCTGCGCAGGGTGCACAGATAAAATGTCCCCCCCAAAAGGCCAATCCCAAGGGAGAAAACAATGAAGGGAAAACACAGGGCCTGGCCGGGCAGGGCTGCAGCTCCCAAGGATCTGGAAGGAAGAGACTGGAAGCGGCCGGGTGCTGGGAAGGCGTTGCTTCTGGGGGCAGACACACAGCTAGAGGGGCGGGGAGGGCCCTTGGCAGTCCTGGGGCAAAGGAAGCGCATGAGCAGCGGCGACAGACGTGAGACCCGAAGCCAGGACACCCCAGGCCCTGGAGGAAAAGCAGCCGCCTTGTCTCCCTTTTGGGGGGGCTTCGCACTGGGACTAGAAAGCCTGCCCAGACCCTCGGCGCTCTCGCCCTGCCGCGCGGAACCTGCTGGCGCTGGAGCAGGTCGGTCAAGGGCCTTCAAAACAGCCGTAAGACACGGGGCAGCAGCCTCCGGAGCCGCAGAGTGACAACGCACTTCCGCCCGGGAATGCGAGACCGCGCCCTGGAGATATCTGGGCGAAATACTGACCAATTCGGAAAAAAGACCAAGCCATTTGGCGATGCCTATGTGCACGCGCGCCCACACACGCGTGATGAGCACACACAGCCGCAGCCCCGCGATGTCAGGGGGCGCCTCGGAGCCCCGAACAAGCACCGCCACGGCCCGCGCTCGCCAGCGCAGGGGACTCTTGCCCGCCGGCTGCCCATTTAAACACAAACCCTCGTCCACTCAGGAGCCACGTGGGCGAGGCCGCGCAGGCAACAGGACACTGGACGGATGCGGAGGCGCTCGCAGCCCAGCCACAGGCCACAAAACCCTCCTGCCGAAGCTGCCTCCGCATGAAGGCCCCCGACGGGGCCCAAGCTCCACCAGGAAGCGGGCAGCCTCCAGCTGGGGAGGAAGAGAGCTGGGCCCACACGCGTCCTGGATGGTGCGCTCAGGGTGTGCAGGAGACACCCCAAGGGGAGCGAGGCCTCTCCTGGGAGCTCAGCTCCCCACAACCCTGCGCCCGGTCCCGCCTCTACTCACCCCCTTCCTCCTGCTCCGTGGTTCCTTCTGCAGCCGGTGTCGGGGCGGCAGAGACCCACTGGCCATCTTGAGTCTCCCCCAAAATAGACTCCAGGTCGACCTCGTCCACGGTGCTCCCCTCGGAGGACAGCAGCTTATCCAAGCCGAACTTGAGGATCTCGCTCAACTAGGATGAAGAAAACAGAAACGTCTAGTTGACTCTCAGGAAAAGGAACACTGGGGCACCAGTGGTTGCCACGCGGCTTAACTCCACAGCACGTGGTCAGTGCTCCGTCCCCCGCGACGGGCGACAGTGACAGCCGGGACAGCGGGTGCCAGGTGAGCGAAGGTGTGAAACGACCAGCTTGGGCTCTGGCTGGTCTCAACAGCACATGAGCCTTGTTTTGGGGGGAACGGTAACTCCTGCGTCATGCACAACGCTTCTGATGTCCCTCGCAGCACCCCCGTCTCCTCCAAACTTCTTAGAAGGCAGCAGAGGAAGCCTCGCTGCTCCTGCTAACCCAATGCTTTCCTGTGGGATCTGCCCCCTGCCACGGTGCTCTGAGGACCCCACCTCACAGGGACCAGAGAGAACGCCCGGTCAGTGGCCCCGTCTCAGTCCTACCCTCCCTGATATCCCTCCAGCAGCAACGCTCCTGCTTCTGCTCTTCCCTGTCTCTCACACCTAAGCCTAATCCCTGCGCTCCAGGAACCACCCAAAGGGTCAGGTCACTCTTCCTGGCGTGCGCGTCCTCCTGATGGCCGTGGGAATCGCCCTGTCCTTGATAGGGTAGTCAAAGCACCTGCACCCATGCTGGAGGGGCACCGCCCACCCTCACACCTGCATCTGCGGCCTCTGCCTGACCCGCTGGCTCTGACTCCTGGGGAGCCCGTCAGAGCGGGCCCGTGGCAGCGCGGAGCCTGGCAAAGGGCAGCTGTGCAGCTGGGGAGGGGGCGGTGAATGCGGCTCTCTTCATTCCCTTTCTTGCCCGGAGGGCGCTGCCTGTCAACCAGGACACCCCCCAACATGGACGCCACTCTCATACCTGGAGGTCAGTGCCGGCCGCAGGCTTCTGGCCCCCCAGCGTGAAGTGGCCCCCTTCCATGATGGCGGTGGTGAGCTGCAGCTTGGAGGCCGCTCTCCTGTAGACTATCTCTTCCACGGTGTCTCGGCCGATCAGCCGAATGACTTTAACAGTCCTGTGCGGAGTCAGGGGAGAGGCGGGGGCTGAGTCTGCGGAGCCCCGGCACACGGAGGGCGACCCCAGCCGGTCGGGGCACAGCAGCGGGGGCGCGCCTGCCCATGAAGCGTCCATCATGGGGGACAAACCTCACTGTCCCCGAGCCTTCCTGACACTCAAGGGGCAGGTGACGCGCTCACACCAGGACCCCTTATGGGGCCTACCCCTCTGGTAGGCCTGCTGTCATCCCCAGGGCGACGCCCGCCTTTGCAGTCAGCTCTCCGCAGCTGGGGTTCTCGCCTGAACGAGCCCTTCCTCAGAGGAATGCGTTTATGTAACTTCTCAAGGCTCCTAGTCCTTTCAAAATTTGATTTTGTTCTTTTTACCAAGCATGAGGACACGCTGCTCAGGGGTCAGCAGCTGAGCTGGGCCAAAGTCTAGGGGTCTCGTGACCTCCCGTCGGGACGGTCCAAGCAGGGCCCTTGGCCTCCCGTCCCTCCCCAGCCCAGAGCTGCCAGGGCGCCCGGGGAGCAGAAAGAGCTGGTCTCACTTGCTCTGGCCGATGCGGTGCGCTCTGGCGGCTGCTTGCAGGTCATTCTGGGGGTTGAAGTCGCTGTCCACGAATATGACCGTGTCGGCCGCAGTCAGGTTCATGCCGACCCCACCTGCGGGTGGGCGAGCAGCCACATGTCAACAGTGGGCGGGCTGGCAGTGCAGACACAGTGACCAGCGAGACGTACAGGGGTCCATCGAAACAGTCTGGGCTCATCCTTCCAAAGGGCATCTCGCCCCCAACTCGAGGGCCTGGAGAGGCTGAAAGTGCTGCCAGAACTCAGGGTGCCCGACGTGGGAAAACCAACCGCCCAGAGGACAGGGGAGCAGCAGAGGCAGAGCTCACGTCAGAGCCCTGGAGCCACCATAATTCCCTTCAGCTTAAAATCCTTGATGGGGTTTTGTTTAGAACAGTCTATGGACAAGGACGCACCGCTTTTGAGAGGCCTTGGGCTGCGGGTGCTGCCAAGGGGAGCACTCACAACAGCTGCACATCACAAGAGGAAGCAAGTTCCCTGGCACAAGTCAGGGAGCAGGGATCCCCTCAGAACATTCCCCAGCAGAGCCGTAAACAGCCTCCTTCTGGAGAGAACTTCAGTCTTTCTGTTCTGGCTTCCACACAATCAAAGAGAAGGCAGCAAAACCAGCTGTGAGACAAGAACACTCACAGAACACGCTTCTGGCCTGTCTGCGGCACTGCAGGAGACTCCCTGCACCCAAGGACTGACTAAGAGCATCACAAAGGCAGGTGACAGCCTTTTCTCTGACAGATGTGGAAACAAGCACAAACCTTACTGCCTCCTGTAGGAGCGTCATGGCGCACGTCTCAACAAGCCAGCCCGGAGGGCCTGCTCCTACAGCCTGAACCAACGACCAACCTCTGGAAGGGTTACCCTCTCTAAAGACTGATGACCGAGAGGTGCTGAACTACCCTTGATGATGATGACAGCTTCACTAGTGCGGGGCTCGCTACCTGCCGACGCTGTTCTCAGCACTTGATGGATAGTAAATCCCTGAATCCTCAACAATCCTGAGTAGTTACTATTACGCTACCTATTAATACTCTATTATCCATTATCCTGATTTTGCAGATGTTGAAACGGAAGCCCCGGGATGCCAAGGGAACCACCTGAGGTTGCACAGTTCAACCCCCCTGGCTCCGGGCCTGTGCTTTACCACGACATGCCGTGACACCCCCGCCCCATGCTTACTCCACTGCAGAGCGCAGCATGAAAACAACTCCTTCCTGGGCTAATGTCTAGTTTAGTTCTTCACCACTGAGGGATGACTCTAAAGTCAGCCACAGCTGCACTTGCTGGGGACACATTCCCGGGCTCGCCCTGCCACCTGGTGGCGGCAGGACTCAGTCACGGAGATACTTGAAGGCTGGAGTGAAACCTGGGAAAGAAACGCTACAGCTGCAAGTCCACGGCTAATACGCGACGTGTTTGGAAAGGCTCATGTCCAGAGCTGCTGACTCCTTAAAAGATTACTGTTTCAACTGATTCTAAGTATTCCAAGATAGTTTAAACACGGAGCTCTCAGGCCTCACTGGTTGCGCAAGGGGATAAGCACAGCACTATGAAGCAATCCGCAGCCTCTGCAGCACAAGTTCGATCCCCGATCCCCGGCCAGCCAGGGAGCTACCCACATGGTGCAGCAGATCACTCCTGTCTCGCCCACTGCTCCCCTCAGCAGTATATTTTGGTCAATCTGTTCTGTCTGGTGAATCCTCTCACTCCAACTCCCCCCGTACCTCTGGCCTGTACCCCAGCTCTTGTATGCATAATAAATAAATCTTTTTTAAAAAAATTAAAAAAAAAACACGCGGAGATCTCTAATGTTAGACATTTAAAACATACCGCTGCTCTCTGCACATGAAGATGAGAAAACCAGCAGCGCCTACAAGAGCTCTTCCCCCACACTGGAGGCGCCCTCGCCTGGTCTTCCAGTTTCTCCCAAGACAGCTCTGACAGGGGTGGACAGTGGCTAGACTTAGGAAAGAGCCTAGATCGTAGCAGTGAGGGGGGTGGACCCGTCTGTGTAACGCAGAGCTGAGACAACACAGGTGAAACAGCTTCGGGATGGCCGCGGGTGACATCAGACACTTCTTTCCCATCCCCACCCCCCCGCCCCCGTCTAGGCACTTGGTAAATGTTTTCTAAATACGAGTAAAGTCTCTTAAGAAAGCCCTTGCTCTCTCCTCAACAGAGGACACGCATTCCCCTTTCATGTTCTGGAATCTGTTCCATCAAGATTTACATCTACAAAAAGATAATGAAATTAAGAGTCTTTGAGTTCAAAACTCATTTCAGGTCTGCTTGCCCCGTGACAGAATCATTTCATCTCCAAGAAGAGATTTCAAATTACTCGCGCACTGCCGGGCACCGATGGCGGAGCACAGCCAGCGCCACACACGACAGCCGCGGTAAGTCGTAAGTAGGGTCTGTTGTAAGTAGTTCCCAAGAGCTGGCGGTTCATTAGAATCACATTTGTTAAAAACTAGAATTTACTAAGCTTTTACGACATTACTCCAGAGGTACCGATGAAGGAAAGACAACTAACAGGTACGCTACCTCTCTCCCCAGAGTCACTGTCGGGAAGGACTGGCTAAATGTGAGTAACAATTTCCACAAAATTATAAAGGTCTTTCAGATAATCCCAGGTCAGTGATCACAACAGGTCAGATTACTTTTCAACGACTCCAGGTTTCCGTCGCCTTTGAGGAGATGATCGCTTAAACGGGACGGCAAAGAGCAGCAGGCCAGAAGTTCCAGACCTTGATAAACTGAAGTCAGCAACCTCAGTTCCCCATTGTTTACGCCCCACGGTAATGACCTAACCGCTCAGAGAACTAAGGGCAAGGACTCCTGCCCGGGACACGAGAGTGCTGGCTCACCACCCCTCTGCTTCCCCCAGCCCCCGGGACCTACCTGCCCTGGTGCTCAACAGGAAGATAAAAATCGGCTGCTGTCCGAAGTTCTTAATGGCCAGGTGCCGCTCTTCGCCTCTCACGGAACCATCCACACGCTCATAGCTGTAACCTTCAGGCAGGAAAGAACAGAGACACATGAGCCCTTTCCAGGTGTTGTCTAGGGAATAAAACATTGTCGGCTCAAAACCAAATGCTAATCCTGATCCTTTCCACAAACAGACACATCCCTATTTTAAGTAAATCCTGGCGGGGGGGTGGGGGGATCTAAATTTAAGGAGCATTTCATTGTTTCAAAAGAAGAACTCAGCGTAAAAAGATCCGCTGGATTCTTAAAAATACATGCAGTGGGTATATGAGTCACTCCGCCTTTAATAGTCAACTCTAACTGACCTAAGCAACTGGGGAGCCGCGCGCGGGACCACACGTGGATAGTTCCCAGTTTTGCTGAGACAATCTCACTTGTGCGAGCAGTAAGACGAGCCCTTAGGAGCTGCTACAGAGCCTGAAGCCACCTTTCAGTGAGGCTGTGAACTCTCCTGTCATCACAGACCCTGTCAGGAAGGGGAGTTCCGTGCTCAGACCATGAGTCTGGGGGTTCCTCGTGGTGCCGATGGCATTTCCCACAAAAGCCCGCACACCAGGCTTCCTATAGGCCTGGGATCATCATGTGGCTCTGAGCTCTGCTCTGACTCATTTTGTGAAATAGTAAGTTCTGCAGCTGATACGTCTTCCCACTGATATCACAATCAACGAACATGAGCCACCCTCCCCGCTCCCACCCCATCAGACAGTCCCACATGGTAACTGGCATTTCCTATTGTCTATAGAAACAAACCACCCTTGCCTGCCCCAGGATTGATATGTGGGGGGTCTCCTTAATTTCAATAATCAATCTTTGCTACTGATCTGAACAAGTGCGCAACTGGTAAGGTGACTGTTGAAGACACTGAAAGCACCTGTCATTGAAACTGTTTACCACAGAATCCAAAATTCCCAATGCTTCTGAGACACACATTTTCTCCAGTGCCCGAAATTTTAAGTCACGTCCCCAGCAGGAATGTGCTTATTTCTGCCCACGTGTCTCTTCCCTGCTGTCCACCCTGGTGTCACACGCCTCTCCTTACGTCCAATGCACCTTCGTTCTGAACAATGTTCTTCCGCTGATTCCCTCTGTGAAGCCCTGCTCTCCAGAATACGCTTCAAGGACCTATCTGGATTGTTGGGTTGTTAAATCCGACAATTGAGCAACATAGTGGCCAAGGGCTGTTACCTCTATAATCCAAGTAGTCCTGGAGAATATCCAACATCTGGGTCATCTGGGAGAAAAGTAAAACTCGATGGCCCCTGGGAAGAGAAAAGGAAAGGGACAGCTGCCAACTCTTGTCAGATTTAAGGTTGAGTTTCCTCAGGTGCAACGTAGCAAAGATTGCATGTTTATAAACACGAGAAATACTGAAGCAGGAACGTAACCATCATGATCACGTATAGATCCCTCAGAAGTGCTACAGGCTGTATGGAACACAGCTCCACCCACAGTCAAGCCTTCTGGTGGTGTTCTCAAGCCACAGGGGGTACTGCCAGGCGCATGTGTCAACATCCAGGGAGCACGGAAAGTGCTAAGAAGTTGCACCTCCATCTGGGATGCCAACTTGCTCAATGGAAACAAGTACACACACTTTCAAAGCAGAGTAAGATGTGCAGAGTAAACTGCAAAATCAACGCATACAAAGCAGAGCGCTGGGGAGCCTGTGGGCCTGCGCTCAGCCTCACAGGCCTCCATGTGGCTGTAAAGTCCTCTATCCATGGCATCTTGGTTAAGTTTGAGAAGTATCACTGCCGAGAAGGGGCAGGTGGCATCTCAAATTCTAGATGAAACTTGAGAAAACTTCAGTATGGGGTGAGAAGAAAGGAGGTCAAGGGACTAAATCAAGAGTGAATTGAGGCCTAGAGCTCCAGGTCATCTGCGTGTTTTAAGTTGGGCTGGCGCTACCACAACCACGGTCCCATCACGAAAACTCATTTAATCTGAGTTTGCAGTGTAAGCAAGAGCAACAACTGTGGAGAACTCCTTTAGGACTCTGGTCCCAAATGGGTAGAATAAGCTTAATGTGAAGCTAAGGACCTCCATTCCAATTTATCCCAGTCATTTTCCAGCTCTGTGACACAACTTCTCTGAGCCTGTTTAGTCACCTGTGAAATGAAAATACAGGACAGAGGACATTTATAGGTCCTTCTCCAAATCTAGCCCACTTACAGTGGGTACATCACAGCCAATAAAACAGTAAGAAATGCAGTCATTTGACCTGCATAGTTTTAATGTTAGAAATGTTACCAATCTGAGGTTTTAGGATGGTTCGGGCCCTGTGGGGAAGCTGTGCCAAAAAAGACACCTTTGAGGTCCTTAGGAAGCTGCTTTTTTCTAGATGCCTCTGTCTCTCTGGAGAGGCGGCGGGCCAGGGGCCACCTGCACCATCAGGCCGCTGAACACTCGGCTGAACCTTTAGAGACTCTGATGTCCAACTCATGTCTCTGGGAGACAGTCCCCCGAGTTTCCCCTGAGTTCAAACCAAGTCCCACATGTTAAGAAAAATGAGTATTTACTAAGCCCTTATTATGTGCCAATTCAGTGCAACGTACCAGCAGGGAATGGAAAAAGAAGTTTACTGTTATCTCTGCCCTCAAGGAACCACACAGAGAGAGCTGGGGCAATACATCAACACACGTCAGCTGCAGGACAGCAGGTCACAGGGCTGTGCTGCCAACACTCTCATGACCCCAAGGCTGTAGGAAGTCAGGGCGACTGTGCAGGGGACAGGACGAGACTGAATGGGTTGGAGCCACAAAGATGCTGGACCCTGAATCATGGTCGTGAGCAAAGGAAACGAATGAGTCTCAAGAAATCAGAGCTGTGCATTAGTCCAGTTGTAACTACCTACCTGGAATACAGGAACGCCAGCAGCTTGTCCAGCAGGTGAAGTTTCCCACTGGCTTCAATCAGGTGCTCTCCGATTTCAAAAGGCTCTGGCTCCACACCTGAAAAGGAGGGAGCCTGCTCTTAACAGCGTGCTCCCGCCCAGGGAGACTCCTCAGGCAGAAGTTGGTGCTCCCGCCCAGGGAGACTCCTCAGGCAGAAGTTGGTGCCCCCGCCCAGGGAGACTCCTCGGGCAGGGAAGTCATCGGTCAGGCAAGAGCGAGAGGTCAAGCCTCTTCTGGGTCAATCAAAGGCCCAAGTCCATCTCTCCTTGAGGCACTGACAGTGATTTGTTTTCATAACAATCTTAGTACGTTAACACCCCTCAGAGCCCGGCACACCCAGTATCCCCAATACACATTTATCCAAGGAACAAACCCCCTCTTTAGGAAATAAAGGCACAGGAAACCACTAAAGGCCAAACAGACCCAAAATTAAAACCTAGAGGTTCTCACTCTAGAAAACAAATCAAGAAACAGCTTAGATATATAAATGTTCCCAATGCTGCCCGTTAGAAGTTCTGATATGCACCTGAGAGTCTATGACCGTTTTTAAAAATACAGAGCACTACTTGCAGATTCTCTTAAAATGACTGCAGCAAACCCTCCACACTGATCCTGTCCCGACTAGATGCCCCACACCCAGAAGTCATGGATTGTCCCAAAGGCTACAAAAATAAAATCAAAAAAAGCCCTGTTTTGAATAAAAATGAAAACGCTACACATCAAAATGTGTAAAACACAACAAAGCAAGCAGAGGGAACTGGACGGGCCCCTGCAAGAAGGGGAAGCAGCAAAGGAGGCCGAGCAGAGACAGACACAGGCAGGCGGGGAAGCAGGAGAAAGCGCTGTCCCCGTGAGCAAGAGCAGGCAGTGCCTCGAGGAAGAGGTGAGGAAGGCGAGGGAGTGTGTCCAGGGCCGCCAGGGGGGTTCCAGCAGGAGACGACCGCCCCGCTGCTGGCGGAGCACCGTGGAGACAGATGACTGGCGAATGTGGCATGCTGGTAATAAAAGGCAACTGCGTTGGTGCAAGACAACAGGACATCTAATCCCAGAGCTGGCCAGACAAGCCCCGGTGATGAGACAGCCCAGAACAACAAATTTTGATTCTTCAAAACTGCCGATTTCATGAAAGACCAAAAAAAGCTGTCTCTCTAGATTATAAAGACAAGACAAAAATAACGCAGGATCTGTGACTAGGCCTTGAATTTAAGAAGAAAAGGCCGTAGGGCATTGAGGGGACAGCTGACGAAATGTGACGATGAACCACGAGCGAGGTGACAGCAACAGAAAAATGAACAAGGAAAAAAAAATGAACACAAGAGGCTGGGGGAAATACAGTAAATAAATACGGGCGATTCTTCTGAAGAACTTTGCTGTTGGCCACAAACGTGAGCGACAGAAATGTAAGACGCGCTCGCTGCCTCACCATCAAACAAGTAAGGGTGGCCCACACATTTTCGAAGCTGGGACAGGATGTTCTGAAGTTTGACTTTCTTTGCCACTTCATTTTCAAATGCATCTGAAATTAAGGAGAGAGAAATGGATGATGGAACAACAAAAAACATCTAAATTTCAACAATAACCTGACCCATTTCAATAGCGTGTGTTTCAGACTCAGGTTAACCTCCCAGACGTCACTAGATTGCATTAAGATTTAACAGCACATCCATGGGAAGTTCTCTGGACTATCCCTGTTTTAAGAAGGAAGCCTAACTCTGAATTGAACTCAGGAATACTTTGTTATTCTTTTTTGCAAAACTCTAAATTTCCTTCTTTACTGCCGTGTGGAATCAAGGGACCAAAAAAACCCCCACAAATTGAGAGACTTTTCTATTCCTGTGTCTCCCTTCCCCCTGCAGAGTCCTCCCGGCAAATCTGATTCAACAAGTGGTTTTGCAGTGTGTTAAGCATGTGATGTGGTCGGGGGTGCTGGGGATGGGAGGCAGCACTGGGAGGTGTTTGTGTAGCTCCTGGCAGTAAGGAAAGCTGTGTGCGGAGGGAAGAAAAGGTCACAATGCTTGATCAAGTCTGAGTTTTATTAAAGAGAACCTGCCACCTTCACTGCAGCTAACCTGAGTATTATTTAGAACATTAATTTCGTCCTGTATTCCTGCTACACTAAGCCAGTGTGATTATAAACTATTCCCCTGCGTGGAAACCACACCCTCGTTTAGTTTCCACGGGGACAAGTGTCCTCTGATTACCCAGGTCCTTCATCAAAATGGCCTTGTAGTATTGTTTCTGCAGCGCGGACATGCTGTGGTATAGCACGACCTCTGTTTTCCTGGGAAGTTCTGTGGCCACCTCAGCCTTCACTCGCCTCAGCAGATACGGCTGCAAGAGCCTGTGCAGCTCACCTGCTGTGGAAGGAGAGGAAACACAGGGCTGTGGGACGAAGGCAAGACCACGGCACCCGACTTCGGAAAATGCAGCAATTTTTTCTGGTTTCACATTTTCATGACAGTTCCGCGCTCTAGGCCGGTGTGGTCACGTTTTAAGAGTACTTCTTCCTTCACTGGGTTCCTCCCAGCGTCCTCTGATATCACTACTGGCTCTTAAAAGTAGGAGCACTCAAAAAACTTAATTCTTAACGATCTCATTTACAGAGATTCCGTGTTTCTCAGATACTTTTGCATTTAAGTCTCAGTGATCAGCCAACAGCTTAGAATTATAGGACAAGGAATATTCGCCCCATTTTTCCAATCTCGGGAGGCCCAGAGAAAGCAAGCACCTTCTCCAGAGTCACACGGCTGGGGCCGACACTGCCAGCGTTCAAGCCGGTCAACAGTTCTTTTGAGTTCGACCTCCTTAAACTTCAAAATCTAGCCTGGACTGGAATTCCACTGCAAACAGTACTGCCAGACAGCAAATAGAAGTGCTCAGTTAAATGTGAATTTTAGATAATCAAAGAATAATTTTTTAAGACACGTAGGTCCCGGGTAACATTTGATTGGGTGTTGTGGATTTCACCTGGTGACCCTAGACCTAGGGGCGACTGGGGCAGACTCAGGTGAGCCTCAGCCTGGGCGTGGGGGCTCCAACTGACGCTCAGCTGGGGCACACCCACAGCCAGCGTGCCTGCCGTTCCGTTTGGATAATCATCCGGGATAACATTTTAGGGGTGTCTACAAAGCAGAGGGGCTAAGGGAGAGACTACGGCTGGCGGTGGATGGAGGGGGGAGGCGCCCCTTCTCCATCTCCACCACACAGCCGGCCTCAGCATCTGGCTCTGGTGCAGTGTGGAAGGAAAGCCAGTGCCATGGGGAGCTGCAAGGTAGTTTGGGGCTACCGCACCCACACTTCTCTGCCTCGAAGCAGCACAGAAAGGCAGCAAGGTCTTTACAGAAATTACACTTTGGAGGGAAAAAAAGGTCTGAGAACCAAGGGATGCTTTTTGCTTCTTCCAAAACCACAAGGCAGTCACGCTGTGGAATCCTGCAACACGTCGGTCCCCAAGAGCAGCCCACGGGCACTAGGGATCGACTGTTACCTTGTTCCCTCGCGGCTCTTTACTCCCCGGCTACCGATTCTCTTTCTTCTCCACAAATAGCCACCAAGACCCAGGACAGCGTCTGGTCAGGCTCGCGGCCACTATAGGAGAGGAACTTGCCTGACTGGGGCTCTTTCTCAATATGCTGGTACCGCTCAACAAAATCCTCCACCTGTTCCTTGGAGAAGACATCTGGCTCCACAAAACTGAGCAGGGAGTAGAGCTCCTGGAGGCTGTTCTGGATGGGGGTTCCGGTCAGCAGGAGATTGAAGACGACTGAGAACTGAATCATACACGCACGGTGTAGAAGCCCCAGGGCTGGACAGCAAGCTGCGTCCCCTCCACCAGCCTCACCCACACAGCGTGCTGGAAGGACCGACCCGGGGACACGGGACCAGAGGGCTCAGGTTCAAGCTGAATACTGGCTGGTGGATACAGGAAAAAACCTCTTCCATTTCAACTCTAAGAAGGGGAGAGGAATTCTGGGGCGGGGCCACCAAGAGAACGCCCACAGACTCTCTCCGTGAGCTCTGGCGTGCCCCTTGCGGTGGCCGTTCCCCAGTCTGTGTGAGGTGTCAGGCTGTGCATTCCCGCCATGTGCGGGGCCTGCGAGGAGTCCGACACCACAGCATGCACTTGGGGTCTAGAAGCCCAGAAGCCAGGCCTCCCTGTGACAGGCCAGACGCCCGGTGCAAGAGCGTCTTGTTGTAAAACTTGACAGCACAACTGGCCTCGCTGTCAGAGCAAGACTCCTGGACATTTCTGGGCCACATATAGCTCAAAATGGGAAGGCATTCTGTAAATTCTGAGCAACAGATGGAAACATCAAGAAGAGACTAATGAAGTGAAAAGTTAAGAAAACACCAAACATTACATTGTCAGGTAAAGGACAACATCTGAACGGACACTAACACAGGTGCTCACCATCTGGGCGGAACAATACGGCAGGAGGAAGCCACGCTCGCATATGGGGGCTCCATATCTAAACACAGCGTGTGTCCAAGCACATGTATGCTGTATTTTGACATTTAAAATACAGCATACATGTGCTTGGACACATGTATGTTTTATTGTTTTATGTGACACACAAGCTCAGTCGCACATCTGAGCATGTGTGTGTGAGGCCAGTGTGTGAGTGTGGGCACTGCACTGGCTGTTTTCACTCAAGTGTGTGTGTATTTTTGATTTGGGAGGGCATTCGTATGAAGACGCTGCTTTTTATAAAATTCCTTCAACAACCAGATTTTAGTAAGCATCACCTCTGATGTAAGGACCAGTCAGGTCATACTAAGTCCTAATGTCACCCGCAGAACGTTCACTTAGCCTTGCAGAATGCTGACTGTGGAAACAGCCCAACTTAACTGACGCTGCACAAACTTTAATATATTTTGAAAAGGAGCTATGTAAAAACAGACTCCTCTGTGAGTTTACCTCGGAAAGTGTCTTATGTAGCAAGGAGCTTTGGTTTTTCAAGCGGTGAGCTTCATCCACAACGAGAACACTCCAAGGAAAACTGTGAGAGAGAAACCCAGCTCTCAGTTGTGTGTGACTCCAGCGTAACTCACGACCGAAAGTCTCACTGGAGCCTGTGACGCCGCTGGGAAGGCCGTTAACCATTCCATTAGAAACACACCCAAGCCCTCTTCCGACCCGCGAGTCCACCACATGCACAGGACACGATCTGGAGAAGGTGCCAAAATTAGGGAATCATTTCTGCAAGCTGGGAAAGCCCTGTGCACTAAAGGCTGAGAGGAAGAAGCCAGAGACAGAAAGAAAAGCACTGACTACCTGCTCCGTGCCAGACACCGCATGTGGGCTTCACGTGTGTTCGTTAAGCGAGAGAGTGTGGTGCGCAGACACTGCATGTTCACTTAGCCCACGAGGAAACTGAAGCTCAGAAAGCTTAGGTGACTTGGTCATAATGCATAATGAGGTAGAGCTGAGTTTCAGATCCAGAAGAAAAAAACAACAGACGCTGGTGTCGCGGTAGTGAAAACCAGGATGACTTTAAAATGGGGACATGAACAGGATCAAGTGTTACAGATGTCGGGAAGATACATCCTTTGGGTTGACTAATTTAGAAATCTTTGGTGCTGTTGCCAGAGTACAGTAGGTTGTGACAATCATTTCTCAGGAGAGTTCAGTCATAAAAGCATATTCTCTGACAAAGCTCTTCCTCCCTCCCCCCAAAAAATTCACAATTTGGGAAAACATATGTATGAATAGCAGTTCCAAGCTGCAGTACTTAAAAAAGCAAAAAACATTGAACAACAATAGATCCAATTATAGGTAAAATATGAAAGCATTATAAATGATGACTGTTACAATAAAAGGCCTATGTGACAAGATGTAAGTTTGTATACCCTTGTCACCAGCGTGAAAACCATGCAAAGGTAACAATGTAGCAGCTGTAAGATTGTTAGCTTTTTGTTTGTAAACATTCTATAATCTCACCGCATTATCTTACATGTAAGCAAAACGGCACACAAGTAAAACAATATTGGAATGATGGTGGGTATGGAAATAAAAATCTCTCAAAAATCAGAGAGACCGTGAGCAGAAGTTGGCCCTATAAGGAGAAGCCCTCATCCTGAGCCTACAGAGAAAATCCAGAAACAGGTCGAGAGTGTGGGGGTGGCGGGGCACTGGAGGTGCAAGTGACCTACAGGAACTGGGCATCCTGCTGGGCAGCAGGAGCTGGGGCACCTCTCAGGATGACAGGACAGGAAGGAGGCCCAGCTGAGGCCAGGCACTGGTCACGGGCCATGGTATGAGAGGGCCACACTGCAGAGCCAGGCCCCTGTTTGAATTAGCGGGGGGGCCTACTCCCTTGTGAAGAACCAGGCATTTCGGTTTTCACACAGCAGGTAGCTGCTGTGAGCTCTGCAAACTTCTTTAGAATTATACTTCAAAATCCCTTTCCAAAAAGTTAATTTTATGACACAAATTGCTGTTAGGTTATTTCCAGAAAAGGACTCAGTTCCCTTCCTAAAATGCAGTTAAATTGTAGCATTTTCTCCAAACAGCAGCATTGAAAGATGTACACAAGTTGCAATGTAGAGATTTTACTGTCTATTAAGGAGACCCCCCCAAGCGCACCCCACAACAGCCATCCAAGGTAAGAGATTCGATCACCCCGTTTCATAGATGAGAATGCTGAGGTTGACAGAGATAAAGGGGCCAACCTGGAACAGGCGGCCAGTGAGCAGGGCTGGTCTGCAGGCCTCATGGCTGCAAGCGTGTAAGTAGGACCCGCGGGGGAGACACCCGGGAAGAGACAGAGTGCGAAACGTGCAGGAGAGACGTGACTTTCCCCGCACACCACAATCTCTGGCGCATGCAACATACTCACGATTTTAGGAATGCTGCGTCTTTCAGGCAAACCTGAAAAGGTGAGGAAGACATGCTGTAACAGCTGGGGCCGCGGGGCCCTGGTGTTACTAGGCTGGCTTCTTGCCAACCTCCTCAGCTATGCACTTAGCTAAGTTGTACTCGTTCGCTCACTGAAAGTTCTGAGTGTCATTTCTAAGCAGCGCTATTTTACAGACAGACAAAAGGGAGGCAGGAACAAGTGGAAGATCTTGCTTCGAGTGATCCAGTCTTAGCTTAAAGAACAAGGATCTAAAGAGACTGAAACTAAGTGGTCTCCAGTCCCATCGTCCAGGGACAGAAATGACGCCACAGCCCCCAAAGCCCCTCCCTCCCTTGCTACCTGCCGCCTCCCACACCTGGGCCAGGGGCAGCAGCAGCGTTAGCCTTCCTGGGAAACCTCCCCGTCTGATGCACCAGGAAAGAGAGCACACAGGCCCTCTACTTCCTCTCTGAGAAGCTAATGCAAGCAGACTTTCTTGCCAGAAAAAGGCACACACTTAAAAAAAACTACACACAAGGAATCAACTTCTGTCCTTGCAGCTCTCTCTTCTCTCCGAGAGATGTCAGTGTTCACGGATGATGTCTTCCCTCCAAAGGTTTTCTCAGAGCAATAAATATGTATCTTTTCATTTCTCTTTTCAAAAAAATGAATACGTTTCCAGTAGATTCTACAACTTCTAAGTTCCCAGATTCTTGCTATAGAGAGACAAGCAGATACCTCAAAGGTAGTGAGCAGCACATGAAAACGCAGCTCCGGCTTCAGGTCTTGCTGCAGGCGGGCTCTCTCCTCCTTGTCACCTGAATATGTCACACAGGAAAGGCCTGGAGCAAATCTGAGGCCAAGAAGAGAGGGAGATGAACACAAATGCGGAGCCAGGAAAGGATGCTCAGACCCGGAAAATCACACTCAGCGCCCTGCAACCAGAAAGCCTAGAGGAGCGGGTGAACCCAAGGAAGTCGCTGGGTGAGCAGGTGGAGGGTCAGATAACATCTAAGAGCCTTGCTGACTCTTAAAAATTGGCTAAAAATGAATCCCAGCCTTTAAATTGCCAAAGAGCAGTAATGGCATCCATTGTGCCCGCCCCCACCCGGGACTCCCTCCCACCCCGCCCAATGCTAGCCTGTACTGGCAATGCCTGAGGCCAGAGTTTTCTGGGAGAAATAAAGTCTCTGCTTAAGACAATGTTATCATATTTCACGTATCACCTGGGACAAAATCTTAACGTAAAAACAAAAATTTCAGCCACCTCTACCGCCTACCTCTCTATTTCTTCTCTCCAGTTGCTTAGAACAGACAAGGGACAGAGGATCAGAAATGGCCCCTCGTCGTTTAATCTCCCGGCCAGGTAGACGAAGAGAGCAATAGCCTGAAACGGACAAGGCAAGAGTCTTCGCCACATTTCCATTTGAGAAACCACCTTAGACTTCCCATGGCCCTTCAGGGAACACAAGCTCTTCTGGAAGACTTGGCTCACAAAAAAATGAATAAATAAACCCATGGTACAAGGTCCCACACATTAGGAGAGTCATCCACTCCCAGGCCAGTCTCCACGTAACTGCCGGAGAGATTTATGACCCGTTCACACCGCAGCTGATACGCAGTGCTGCTTGGCATCGATGCACTTGAACCTCGTCTGCAAAGAAGAACATCAGGAAAGACCTTGACAGGCAATAAAAACGCCAGTGATGTGCAAGATCAGCAACGCCCTGAAAACGCACGAAGTAGCCACACAAGACAGCAGAGACCGCCAAGGACATGCCACCTTCGCAGCTCGCTGGGCTCTCCCAAGGGGGTTTCCTTTCTTCCATGCACATTTATGGGCCAACCCCTCTCTAGCACGGCTCTGCGCTCTGGCACTTAGCAGTGAACCACACCAAATCCCTGCTGACACTTACACTTTGGTGAGGAGAGAAAGAAAATCAAGAAACAATGTTTCCTAATATCACCTCAATTCAAAATCTCTCTAGAGAGTGAGAGAGGTGTGAGGCCAGGACTAACCCGCACTTGTGACCGGAAAAGTTTCTCTCAGAGGCGACAGGCTGCTGTGAACCATAGACAAGAGTGGTCTCTTAAAAATACAAAAAGGTCGAGAAGCCTCCATCCCCAAGTGCTAAGCCATTTCTAAGAAAACGTCTCTTGAAGACACAACCCACGGACCTGAGAAGGCTTCAGGCCCAAACACGCCTGGCGCGGCTGATCTGAACTTCCCAGTGTGGGAACAGCCGCTTGGCATCAGCAGAACGTGTCACTGTGACAGTTCTGGACCGGACCAGGCAAACTAGGAACAAGGATTGTGAAGACTATAATAAAATGGAAACTGTGACAGCATTAGATTAATAAAACACAGACTAATAATGTGCACAAATGTTTCAAGCATGCAGAGCGTGGGCTGTCATGTCCAGGCCGGAGGGCTGCTGCTGTAGGTGAGGGTTTTCCTTCCACTGAAATTACATTAACTTTGTAATTTTTTGTAACCATTCATGACTTCCAGCCCAGAGCAATCACCTAGTAGGTACTTACTGGATTAAAACCACTCTGTTTAGCTTTCACTGAGGCTATAATTTAGAGAACATTTACCATAAACCATAAACCAGACAAGTCTACTAAATGAATTTGGGTTCATTAGTGAATTCTACCAAACATTTAAGGAAGAAGCAATGATAATTCCACAAACGCTCTTTTGGAAAACTGAAGAGGAGAAAATACTTCTCGGCCATTCCATGAGACCAGCTTCGCCACAACACTGAGACCAGAGAGAGACGGTACAAGAAATGGAAACTATAGACCAACATCCTTCATGAACACGGAAGCAAAGACTCTCAGTGTTTTAGCAAGCTGAATGTGGAGTGATAATATTTTTAGGGCACTTAAAGTAGAGCTATATAAACACCTGGGAAAAGGCAAAGAACAAGCAGAATTTGCTGCCCTGGGCCTCCCTGGTGGTGCAGGGTTAAGACTCAGCACTAAGAAGCTGTCCGCAGCTACTGCAGCATGAGTTCAATCCCCGGCCAGGGAGCTGACCCACATGCAGCAGACCTCTCCTATCTCCCCGCTACTCCCCTCAGCAGTGTGTTTCAGTTGATCAACCTGTTCTGCTCCACACCTGTCCCTGGTAAATTCTTTCACCCCCAACACCTCTGGCCTACACCCCAGCTCTTGAATGCATATTTAAAAATAAAAAAGAACTTGCTACCCTGAATGAAGTAGGGTGATGCCAGCATCTGAAGCACAGGGCCCAGGGGCCTCTCAGCCCGGTTATGGCAAAACCCTCCCAGGACCTAGAGATGGGGCACCCAGGTTTGGATCGGCTGTCTCTGCGGTACACCCAGACTGCGCTGCCTTTCTCTAGTAGGTCGCGTGGGATAGCCCAAGGGCTGTGTCTGGGCTTTGCCTCGACCCACATCATCTGCCAGCCTGGTCGAGGATGTCGCCCGTCAGCAGCAGCCTCACACATACCTGTCTCGGTGCCCGAGGCGGCCGAGCCTGCTTCTGCGAGGGTCCAGACTGCACCCTGACTTTAGATGGTCAGGGCATTCTGGAAACACAGGGCGCTTCTTCGGCATTTCTCTAGCATGGCAGAGAAATAGGAAGCAGCCCGACCACCCACCGAGGAAGGCAGGCTAATATCAGAAGTGACCCATAGTTGCTAAGGAGGGTGGTCAGTTTGATCTGGGACAGGTAGATTTGCTTTGTGTCGAGAAAAACACTGCCCTTGTGCTGAGATCATACATGCCAAGGCCTAGATGAGGTTCCCTTATTTAATAAATACTGTAAACAATTCTGAGCTCTAGGCAAACCCCCATGGGGAGACGATCCACGTAACTAAAGAATGGTCTGAGATCACCCCCATCTCAGTTCTCAGGGGCGCTGAGCACACGTGCTGCAGAGACAAGGCCAGAAACCCAGGCCGGTAGCGGGCAGTAAGTTCTAGGAGACCTTGGACAGGGGAGGTAAAAGGAGAAAATAAGAGCTGGGAAAATGGGCGTGTCTGCCCGGCTGTACCGGCACAGGAAGAAGCCAGTCACAAAGTAGGATGAGGAGATTTTAGAAGAGAGAAAACAGGGTTTAAATATCCCCCGGACACGGGCACATACAATCTCCTTTGCCGCTCCGGGTACAGCACCCTGGGAGTCCTTGCTTTCTTCCTTTAAATAAACTGTTCTTTACTTTCCTGAACAAAGTTTGCTTCTCCCTGCTTACTTATCTAAAGAGCCTGCGAATTCCTTTTTACGGCTTTGTGGGAGAAGACCCTGTAGTGTTTCAAGGGCTAAATTAACAATGTACACCGCTTCACTAGTATCAAAAACAGCGGCCAAAGACAGACGAGTCACAAGGCATCTCAGCGGCAGTCACGCCGCAGCAACCTACCTGGCAGGTCTTCCCCAGGCCCATCTCGTCTCCCAGGATGCAGCCATTCTGGCCGTGGAAGCGCTGGGCCAGCCAGTTGACTCCCTCCAGCTGATAAGAGCGTAAAGAAACCCCTAGAAACGACACAGCAAAAAGCAGAGGCTTCAGCACTGGTGTGGGCTGCGATCTGAGCCTTCGAGCGGGAAACGCGGTCTAAACCCCATGACTGCCGGCCCATCCTTGCCGAGCAGTTGCGGTGTGACTATTTGCAGCTGCCAAGCTGCTTTTGGAGCAGACGTAGTCGCCATTAACTCCAAAGCCCCACGGCCACCTGCCAAGGCTGTCGGATGAGACAGTCAGCCTGGGACCCGGTTTCCAGAGTCCGCTGCAGGAAATGAGGCAGCACGGATGCAACATAACACGCGCCCTGGTACACACGCCGGCGCGCTTCATCCCAAGCATTTACTGCTGCCAGAGGGAACAAAACGGACACAGGACGCGATTAAATCATGCTTCAAAGGAGTGCTGTCAAAAAGGACCCCCGTCGGCTGTTTCTGCCCCGGTCCTGGGGGCCCCCTCCAGGTGCTGTGGACTATGGCAGGCTCTCGGGCCTCAGTAGCCCCGCTTTGAGCCAACCCTGTTGGCTGCGCATGCACCCCCGCGGGGCTGGGTGACTTTGGGTGCTTGGTTGGGAAACTGTATTCATCCTCTTTCATCCCCTTTTGTACTGCACACTGATTATATTAAAGTTCCTTTCCTTTGAAGGTCTTGAAGAAGGAAATATCAGGCTGACCTGTTAATTCACTGGTTATGTTGAGACAGAGCCTAAATGTAGAACGAAAGTTCCAGGGAGAAACATGAACGTCAGGCCGTCACGCCTGACTTGTGCACCCCTGATAACCACTCAGGAATCTCCAGCTTCTGTACTCCCCGCTTGCTTCGAAGTGCGAATGTGCCCCTGCTGAGGCAATAAATCCTCTGTTCCCTACCTGCTCGGCTCTGACTTGAGAGAGAGAGCGCCTCTGGGCCCGCCGGCTCTGAGTGCCGCCTGCTTCCCTTATGGAACTTTGCCACAACAGTCTTAGGCACTAGAGAATGTTCTGTCTTGATGCGGCCGACGGCAGAGCCTATTTAGAGCGGGCAGGTGTGGGAGTTTTGGGGTGCCCCTCTCCCTGTCCTTAACAATGCACACGATTCCAGCCACAGGTTTCATTAATTTGCTAGAGCAGCTCACAGAACTCACGAAACCAATTTACTCGCTCAAGCACAGGTGTGTTAGGGAGGGATCTGGCACAGGCGAGGAAAGACCGGCTTAGGTGGAGATGGGGGACGGGCGAGGGCCTTCCTCACCTCTCCAGACACGCCATTCTCCCACCACCTGGCAGCTCTCCGAACCCCATCCTTTTGGGGGTTTTGTGGAGGCTTCCAAACATAGTTCGGATCAAGCAAATCACTGGCCTTTGGCGGCCGACTGAATCTCTAGGCCCTCTCTCCAGCCTGGCGGTCTGGGGTGGGACTGAAAGCGTAGCCCTCTATTCCAGAGGCTGGTTCTCCGGGCGCCAGCCACCGTGCGAAGGCACCTCCAAAGTCACCGCCTTCACGTAACAGAAGACACATTCACTGCTCCCAACACGAAGGAAAATAAGAAACCCAAGGCTTTCAGGAACTATGAGTGAAGACCAAATATATGTAAGAAATAAAGTCTGGTCATGTGAATGACCGTGTTTTTTACACAAGACACAATATCACACAGAGAAAAATGGCAGAAGTTACCAAGAGCTACAAAAACCAGGGAGCAATCACAGCCAGCTCCAGGACCCTCCCCCACCACACCTGACCTAACCCTCAGTAAATTAGGACCAGCAGCTTAGAGAAATGCAGAAACCCCAAATCCCACCCAGTCTACCATTTCCCCCTCCCTGACTTTCCCCTTTCAAATCTCCAACAATCCTCTGCTTGGCCAAAGTCAAGTCATATGCACAACAGGACTCCAGGGGAATCTGGGAAATCTAGGTTTTTTTTTTTGCTTTCTAGAGTCTGGGGTGCAGTAAGGCAGGCTCTGGGTTAGAGAAGGAACAGCTTGGGGGCGTGCATCATAATACCCATCATATAGCTGTTTGCTTTCTTTTGCTTTGCCTACCTCTCAAGTGAATGGTAAGTTGTATAAATCAGTCAAAAACACAAAGTAGGGCCTCCTTGGTGGCGCAGGCGGTTGAGCGCAGTGCTGTGAAGCTGTCCGCAGCCTCTGCAGTGTGGGTTCGATCCCGGCCAGCTGTGGAGATACCCACATGGCACAGCAGACCTCTCCTGCCTCACCCACTACTCCCCTCAGCAGTGTATTTCAGTCAATCTGCCTGTTCTGTTCCCCAACTCCGTCTCTGGTGGATCCTCTCACCCTCCCGCACCTCTGGCCTGTACCCTGGTTCTTGTATTGATGGAAGACAGGAATAGAAAAATACTGAAAAGGAGGTGCCACAAGACCAGAAACCTGGCTCTCACAAGGAGGTGGGAAACCAAGACCCTTAGGCACCAACGCCTAGATTACAAAGCATAAGACCCAAGCAGGAATCCGGCTGCTGTAGGGAGTGTCTAGAGCTCAGGCCCAAAGGTAAAGATATGGAGACTGAGCCCAAAGTGGAATCTTCGGTCCCTTTCAGATTCTGCAGTTACCCAAAATCAGCAACTAACCCAAAGGCTCACAAGGAGTGACCCCTCCCAAACAGAGACTACGTCAGTGCAGTCTCTGCGCAGGCTCGGGGGCAGCACTCCCACTGCCCACCTGTGACTATGCAGGTGCCTCTTTTCACCAACTCTCTCCTCTGCAGGGCAGCAGCCTCCTCCAGACATGTTACTTGTTGACGGCTTGTTTAACGACTGTGTTAATCGTCTCTACCCCCACCTCCGGTTTCTGGCCTTGTGTGATGCCACCTTCCCAAATGTTCTGCTCTTTGCCTCCATTTAATACTTTCAATACAAGAAAAGATCCAACAATGCAAAAGACAAATACCTTGGTTAAAAAATGAGCAAAGAACACAGACAAGAAACCAACATCTCTCAATACTAGCAAGCTCACCAACAATAAAACAGCATCTTTAACTTCTCAAATTAGAAAGCATCGGCCCTGGTGGGAGTTTGCAGAAGTGAGCAAAAGCGCTGCATACGCTTCCTTCTACAGATGCTGCCTTTGGGGAGCTAAAAGTTTATCCATATAATCAACGTTTGGTGACTGGTTTTAGGATTACTTAAATGGCAAAAAAGAACCTTCCTACGCAAGTCAAGGGGCTGCTTGAACTATGACAAGGCCGTACATGGAAATACCCTGGACACACCGTGAGAATGAAAAAAATTAAGTACTAAGGGGGAGAATTATGGTTTTCATAAAATATGAACACGAAACCCCAATTCTGCACTGCTCCTTCGCTCCCTGCCCAGCCTGGGAAAGAAAAACTATACACACACCCATATTCCTTCATAACCAAGCACTGGCAACATGGACAAGAACATGTTAACATGATAACAACATGGAAAGCCTGGAGACTTTTTCTTCTTCATCCAAGGAATCTTACCCTGCATGTTTTAAGGACAACGTTCACTGCACTCCTGCACTTGGAGAAAGGGGCGCACGCCATTTCCAGCCAACCCACAGGGGTGGGTTCTCAGAACACTAACTTACGACAGTAAACAGAAAGAGGAGTTTCAAGTCAAAACCTTCAATATGATTCCTTTGCGTGCCTCTCCTTTCTTTCCCCTCACCAAGAGCTTCCACATGTGTCTATCTCCTTCATTTGCTCTCACTCATGCCTGCAAACTGGCCCCGACTTATTTTTTTTATATTTACTTATGCACACACACAAGCTGGGGTCCAGGCCAGAGGGGTGGGGGGTGAGAGGACCCACCAGAGACAGAGCGGGGAGCAGAACAGGCAGAAGGACTGGAATCCACTGCCGAGGGGAGCAGCGGGGAGACAAGCTAGGTCTGCCCGCCCTGTGGGGAGCTCCCTGGCCGGGGCCCGAACTCGGGCTGCAGCGGCTGCCGCCCGCTCGCAGGCTGCCTCTTAACCCCTAGGCCGCCAGGGAGGCCCCGACTTAGCGCGCCCAACGCAGGCAGGTGCGGGGCGCGTCCGCCTCCCCCCCCACCCCCCCCCCCGCCCCAGGTGCCGCCCGAGCAGCCGCGGGCGGGAGGGACGCGCCCGAGCCCGTCATCACCGCGTCCCGCGCCCGTGAGGACGCGTCACCGGCGCGCGGCCGTCCCGGGAGCCTCCCCGGCGGGCTCGGGCTGGCGGCGCCTCTCCCGGCCGCGGCGCCTCCGCCCGCGCGCCCCCCGCCCCGGCCCGTCCCCGCCCGCGGGGAGACGCGGCCGCACGAGCAGACCCGGGGCGGCGGCAGGACCCCCGCGGGCCCCCACCCCCCGCCTGACCCCCGGGCCCCCCGCCCGCACCCCCCCAGGGCCGGGGCCCCGAGGCGGCCGGGAGTCGCCGGGGCCGGGCCGGGCCGCGCCAACCGGAACACAGGCGGCCGCGCCGGCGCCGCCTCCGAGAGCGGGGCTCGCCCTGGGCTCCCCGGGCCCCCGAGCCCCCGCCCGCAGCGCCCCGACCCCCGCCCCGCGGCCCCACCCCCGGCCGCGGGCCCAGCCCGAGGAGCGGCCGCCCGGGCCTGACTGCGAGGCCCTGACCTGTGAGGCCCCACTGCCGCAGGTCCCGCTCCCGCACCCGCGCCGCCCCGCCCCGGCCCCGGCCCCGCGCGGGCGCCCAGGGCCCGCAGGAAGCCGGGCTGGGGGTCCCCGCCGCTCGCCGTCGCCGCGCGCGCCATCGCCCAGGAGGCTCCGCCCCCGCCGGCTCCGCCCCCCGCCGCCGCCGACGCCGCCGCCGACCCCGCCGACCCGCCCCCGCCGCTAGGGGGCGCCGCGCGCAGGACCCGCCCGCGGCGGAGCCGGGCTGTGAGCGTCGGGGCTCGGGAGGCGCGTGGGGCGCTCGGGCGGCAGGTGCTGGACGCCGGCAGAAAGTGGGGGGCTCGGGCGGCAGGTGCTGGCCTCCCGCAGCCCCGGGGCCCGCACCCCCCACCACAGCCCCCGCGCGCGCTCACGAGCCTTCAGGCGCCCGAGGCCCCGGGGCGGCGGCGCGGGCGAGTCTCCCGCC